CAACCAGGGTGCTAGAAACGCGGACTCATCGCCTGATTCATTTTGGGTGCCAAGTAGACTACAAAGACGAAGTAGTGATGACTTACCTTCACCGGGTAATATAAATAAATAGAAATATTACAATGATTGCCATAAATTAGTTACAGTATTTATAAACAGGAAACAGAAAGTATTTCTGCATTAATCATTCACTGTCTTAGATCAAGGCGTTTTTGAAGTCCAATCTTTAAAGAATTTAATGAGTAATTAAATTGGTAAATTTAATATTTATTTATTTCATTACCTTCTGATTTTTATTCATAATTCATTTTCGAACAATAAATTGTTCCTGCACTAATGATATTTTTTTACAATCTATAGCTAAAATATTTAATTTTTTTTTTTATTTTTTTAGATGAATCATTAGCTGGTAGCCCAGAATCTCCCTGTTCACATAGATCTTTTGGTGGTGATTCATTACATACTCTTGGTACTAGTACACCACCATGTCCTCCTTGTCCACTTACCAGAAATGACCGCCACGTAGTCTTAGCAGCAGCACCACCATCTCGACCACGAGTTGCCTCTATGCAGGCCAAATTAGATCACACTAAAATTGATTCTTCAATGTACCAGCAGGTAAATTAAATATTAACAAAATATTCTTGATTCTGATTTCAGTGAAATAGTTTCAAGTGGGCTATTTATTTGAAAATCTATATGCCCTTTTTTCTTAGATTAATTAAAATCATTAGAAAATATCATTTTCTATTACATAATTTCAGGATTCTCCACCTAGAACTCCAAACAATTCTGAGTCAATACAAGGTTCAATGCATATAACTTTGCAATATGATCCTTCTGCGGGAATACTTACCGTCAGACTTATCGAGGTATATAAATAAAACAAAATTAGTAAGATTAAAAATTATCTAAATAAATCATCACATAACAGGCACAAGATCTTCAAGCAAGAGATTTTAGTGGAACTGCTGATCCTTACGCTAAAATTCGTTTGCTGCCCGATCGAAACAATGTTTGGCAAACAAGGATACATAAACGAACCCTTAATCCAGGTAAAATAAAAATATCAATAAATCTGTTTATATTTAACATTGAAAATATATATTTAACTATTCATTATATATATTTAAATATTTAATAAATTTTATTAATTTTTATTGGTTTTAATTTTAAAAAAAATATTAGCTTTTAAGTTTTGATGCATTAGCTAATCAAAATGTTTCTTAAATTATATTTAATTTTATTTTGTAGTTTTCGATGAAGATTTCGTATTTGAAGTATCACCGACAGCAATTGCATTACGCACACTTGAAGTTTTGCTCTACGATTTTGATGCTTATAGCAGGCACGTCTGCATAGGTGGATCTCAGGTAATTTTTATTAATATTTTGTGTTCTAGATATGCTTCAAAAACAATTTCATAATAAACTATTAATTAATTACTTATATTCTACTTATAGCTTATTTATATTTTCAGATTCCTTTATCCCAAGTAGATTTGTCGGAACGTGTCGACATTTGGCGTGGACTAGGTCCTTGTGAAGATAGGGATGCAAAGGCTGATTTAGGAGATTTGATGATATCCATGTCATATTTGCCATCAGCTGAAAGACTTACTGTGGTGGTTATAAAAGCTCGGAACCTTAGAGTAGTGGATGACTCTCGAACTTCTTCAGGTATTGAAGAAACATATTTTCATAACAGTTTTACAATAATATTAAATAATAGTAATAATATTTGAGTAGTAGTGATTACAAATTGATTATGTATTACTAGTAAGTCTTTAACACGTGATGTATGTTCTACAGATCCATTCGTGAAAGTATCCTTACTCCACAATGGAAAACGACTCAAGAAACGCAAAACTAGTGTCCACAGAAACACCGTGAATCCAGTATTTAACGAAGCCCTGACTTTTGACCTATCCCGAGATACTCTTCGTAGGAGTACCATTGAATTTTGCGTCCTGCACGACAGTCTTCTGGGAGCAAGCGAGCCTTTAGGTAAGGCTACGGTAGGAACTGGCGCTGGGAGGGCTCCAGAAGAAAAGGAATTCTTCGCTGAAATGTTCAGGACGAAATCGGCTACTGCTAGATGGTTGCCTTTGCAGGATCCTAGAAATCAGAAGGACTGAATGAGGTATAAAAGTCTGAAGATTTTTCATTCGGGATAAAACGAGGTAAGTGGTGAAGAAATATGTGCCCTCAGAGAGTAAAATTAAATTACAATGTCTTGGGTATTGGCAAAAATATTTTTATGGCGATTTAACTTTTAGCCATGAATTTATTGTAAGCAAAATTAGGACAGGCATTGGCTTTTAACTAGCGTTAAATAATCAAGTGCTGGCAAATAAAAATTTCTTATTATTTTTATCTTCTGTATTAGATTTTTTTCATTTTATCGTATAGCTCATTTGGTTATTAAATTAAAGCTCGTTAAAAATTGATAATATCATAAAAAAATTTGATAAAACTTCTATTTTTATATGAAATAATACACCAAAATAATTAATTTTCAATATTTTGCTATTTCAATAGCTTTACCTGCAGGGAGTATATAATGTACAGATGAGCACGAGACTATCATGTTAAGATTAGCAATTAATTTGAAAGAAAATTTGAAATTAAATGCGTGTGAAACATTCGACATATAGTAACAATTAGATTCGAAACTGCTTTTATCTAAATGAAATCAAAACATTGCATGTTTCATTAAAAGTTCCAATAAAGGTGTAATGATTTTGAATTTGATCTTTTATGAAAAACATTTTTTGATACAAAAAATATTTCTACTTGTTTCTGTTTACGTTCTGTTTATAAGGTGTTTTCATCTGTTCTCAATTATCTATTAACAAATAAATATTAACCCTGCTCCATATTATTCAAATATACTTCAACTTAATAAAATCGTTCTTGCAAAAAAAAAATGATTTTAGTTGATTAAAATATCACTACGTGAATTATTTTACTTTCTATAAATAATAAAATATATGTAAATATTGAATGTATTAATGGTTATTTAACTCTGATATATAAAACACTTAACTAAATAATAATTATTTTAAAATGTACAAAAAGTATTAATAATTATTTATAAATTTTAAACGTGACATGTAAAAATAGAAATTATACAAAATAATATTTTTTTCAAATAAAATGTGCCAAAATACTATACAGTCATAAAATATATACCTCCCTTTAGTGAAAATACTGATTATCAATTGAAAAACTTATATATGTAAGTGACAAACTTAACATTTTGTAAGTCATCATAGTATTTTGCTTTAAACTTTTCTCAGTTTTTATTCTATCTACATTCAATGTATTGTGATATGTGGTAAATAGTTAATAAAATATATGTTTAATGAATAATTACAAATATTTAATGTAATGCTTCAACTGCGTCCTAATGCATTTATTATAATTACTTGTATAGAATATTAACTTATAAGGGTATAAACGAACAATTTATTTATTTATTAATTTATTTATTTATTGTTTATTTATTTATTTATTTGTTGACAGAATTCAGCCCAATTTCAATAGATTATTAAGAACCAATGTTATATTAAAATAATTTAAGTTTACTTACTTGTTAGTGTTGAATGCTGGTAAAGTTTATGTGATGAATTCAATTTTATTGTAACATGACAAAATATATAAATATGAAAATCTATTAAATTAAATAAGGTAAAAATCAATTATATGACGTGTTCCATAAATAGCAAAAAACACCAAACATATATATGAATATTGTTAAATTTGAGTTTTGTCTAATATCATTTAAAGTAAACATTAAATTTTACAAGCCAAAATAGAGAAATAATATATATATATATATATATATATATATATATATATACATATAAATTCAAAGAATTTAACAAAAATTTAAAGAATTATTTGGTATAACGTCATATTGTATCATTTTGCTCTACACCATTTTTGTGTATTATTATTTGACCTTTTGTACATTAAAAAGGAGTTATTTAGGCAACTTGCAATTGACCAATAAATGTGCAATAGTTCATTTGAAACAGTTAACAGTTAAGTGATGAAATTAAAATTTTGCAAGAATTATAATAAATTCATCTGAAGTCATTATGCTTAAAGCATAACAAAACCGAAGACTAAATCTAAATTTTATAAATAGTAATCATTTCCCTAAGAATAAATACAATCAATGCATTAAAATATGCTTTAATTCATGTTTGTGTATCGTCAAAAATAGCCACAAAACTAATATATTCTAATAACCATCTAATATCGATCCAACCTCGAATTCCTAATTTAATTTAACCTTTTGTTAGTTAATTTACGAGCATTTCATATTAGATAAAATTTTCAAATCTAACGTACCAGAATTACATTTATAGAATAATGAAGAATTGCTGAAGATAATTTTGAAAACGTTTGTAAATAGCAGTTGATATGCTGCTTTAAATATATATTTGCTTATGATGTAAATTTGTTTGTATTGTATAAGATATATGTCCACAGTACCTTCAGCAGATTTAAAAAATGTGCTGCTATATCTATTACAAAGTATCTGACTGTTATAGCATTTAAGAGAACCTATATAACTAAATATTTGTATTGTATAAATATATATTACAAAGATTATATATTATACTATTCAATATTCATATCTATTTAGATAGAAATAAATTAATTATTATAAATATAAATCGGTCTTTCTCACAAGAGCCCTATATATGTGAAGTAAAACTTAAACAAATTATTAACATAATAAATTGATTATTCAAATACATTATATTTTAAACGTAATTTAGATTTGTGTAACACTAAAAATAATATATAAACAAAAAATATATGTATGAATATTTATATTTCTTATGAATAGGTAATATGAATATTATTCATAGTTCCACAAATTACAAAGTAAGAACCAAAACTATGTACAAGATTAATAAATAGCGATACAAACGAATGTATTTATTGATAATACATATATATTTCTGCCAATTTTGTGGTTTCTCAATGCGGTATTTTTGCTTGCAGTTCGTCCAGTTGTTTCAAACAATCTCTGGCATCAGATATGGCGGTTCGATTTTGTTTCCTTTTACCCAAATTTTCACCACGCTGGCACCAAACTCGAGCCTTATCATACATTCCTCGGAAAAGATAAACGGCACCTAATTTAACTAAATAATGTGGAGTATCCGGATTATCTGCGGTTTTTCCGATGACCAAAGCGTTCACCAAATGCCTTTCTGCCGCTTCAAAATCTTTCATCGCAAAACACAAATCGGCTAAATAATAAAGTAAAACCATTTCTTGAGCTGGCTTGATACCAGTAACCCTTTCAGAATGCGAATATGCTTGCTCCAATTTTCGTCTAGCCTGTTCTGGTCTACCACGATCCATCAGAAATTTACCGTACCAAAATAGTATGCTCACCAGTAGATGTTCAGTTTCTTCATCTGATGGGCCGGTAGTTTTGCGGTTCTGGATACGTAAACAATTTTTGAATCCCATTTCTGCCAATTCATCATTGTGAATGTTAGCATAAATCCTTGATAATTTAAGTTTGAAATTTATAATTGTATTGTTTTCTTCCGGGTATCCTAGCTGAATCAATCGTTCTATTATGCGTACTAAGTAATTTTCGGCTTGTGTTATTTCACCTTTTTGGAACGCTATAGTCGCCAGCATGTCATAAACACAAGAGACACCTACATTGATTTTATTATCTTCTGCAAGTCGAAGTGCTGAATGTAAGATTTGTTCAGCCTTTTCAATATTGCGATCTTTTAAAGCTAGTTCAGCCATGGCGATTACATGGGCTAGGCGATTCTCAATATCAGCACCTTTTTTCTCATCTGCACGTTTTTTTGCAAAAATATTGAAAGCCAACACCCCTATGGCTTGATGGCAAGTTTGTCTACTTTTACCTGGATTGCGACTTCTTGTAGCCGAGGAAACGCCACGTTGAATGGCAGCGCGTAATGATTTTCTGGCGGCATATCTCTTGAACTGTCTAACATTGCGAATTTTGTACAAAAATTTACATACTCTATTCATGCTATGGCGATTTACATTTTATATCTTCAATTTTTGCCATCCATCTAGCCGCAGAAGTATAACTAGATAAAAATAAAGCCGAACAGTGAACTATGGAATCATATCTAAATAAATATTTTGTTTTTTTTTCATAATGGCACAATGATCATTTGTCATACGAGAATTTAATAATTTTTATAACTTACAAATGTTTATTTGAATTTTGAATAATCGTTGGTTATTGGCGCCATTGCGCGTTCTTTTGCTTTTATTGTGAAGTTGGCTGCTCTTGTACTTTGACAGTTTTTTATTTTGACAATTATATGCAATCGTTTTGACATTCAAACATAACCTAAACATAATTAATAATTATAATTAATTATAAAATGTAAAATTAGATGCATTCAAAATTAAACGATATAATTAAAAAAAGTTGCCTAATTAAAATATTACTTTAGAGAACAAAGATGAGTGTTAGTAGTGCGTCCGATGTTTTTGAAGGTAAGACTTTTTGTATCATTTTATTTTGAAATAGTTTTCAGTGTTATCGTTATTGTGCTGATTAGCAATAATAATCCTGCTACGGTTCATATTTAACATGCATTTATTTACCGCATCTAATTCAATAGTCCATAGATGTTTTTATATATGAAGTCTGTCATCTGAGACAGACTTAAGACAGACTTACTCACTTAAGTTAAGAAAGACAATTTCAATCAATCTGAATTATAAACATATTAAGTAAAACCCCTTTTACCCCAAACTTTGTGGCATTTGATGTTATATGTTACAGAATCTCATTTTTATTTAAATGTATCAATTATATTTTCATACAAAGTACTGTTATACTGTACATAAAATTAAACACTTGTTATTTTTAGCAAATGGAGATGAACATGTTTTTAAAATACCTGGAAAGGCAGTTAAAAGCCAACAGGAAATGGTGTTATGGGAAAAATCAGAAGCCTATCTGGTATGTTATAAATTCAATAACTTGTTTATGTTTTAAGAATATTGTGTTGATTTTGCAGTTGATTGACAGTAATTTATTATGTTCAATGTAATTCATATTTCAATATTACTTTACAACTTTAATATTTAAAATCAATCTATCAAAACAGAAAATCTTATTATTGGTTATTGCAGGTATGCATATAAGTCCTTTTTGTTATTTGAACAATAACATGTCTATATTTTATATAGGAATATAAAGGATTCATTCTTTCATTAAATGAAGCAATAAAGGGAAAATCTCTTTCGTATCCCACTGAAATATCAGTACCCATTCAGAATACTGTGGAATTACTAAATAAATTAGACAAAATGATTGATGATACTCCACCAATTAATCAGCCTCAAAGATTTGGCAACCAGGCATTTCGACAATGGTATAGTGGATTAAAAGAGGTAACAAGTGACTTTTAATAAGATTAGTAATAACTTTAGCTAATGATACATTTTTTCTAGGTGGCTTTAGATTTATTACAAGATGTAATACCTATTCAGTTGCACAGTGCTGTACCTGAAGTTCGAGTATATTTAATTGAAGCCTTTGGCAACGCAACCAGAATTGATTATGGAACTGGGCATGAAATATCTTTTGTTATGTTTATGTGTTGTTTGTTTAAAATAGGATTTCTTAAAGAAGATGATAAAATTGCAGCTGTTACTAAAATATTCCAAAGGTTGGTCTCTAAAAACTATATTACAGTGATAAAAAAGTTCTGTTATCAGTTTATATTTAGTTATCAAATCTTTATTGTCAATTATAAGAGAAAATAATTATTTCTATTCTTTATATTCAAGGATTATATAAAACTTATTAATTTTTTTGCATAGATTTATTGACAATCAAAATAATATAATTTTATAAGACAATATGCTGGGTGTAAATGCATTTAAAGAGTTTATCTCCTGTGAAATACCTCTTTTATTATTGATTTAGACTAAATCTGTTCTACTTGACTAAATTCACCCAACTTTTTTTTTGAAGATATTTGGAAATAGTTCGCAAACTGCAAACAACATATAGAATGGAACCAGCAGGTAGTCATGGAGTTTGGAGTTTGGATGATTATCAATTTGTACCATTTATTTGGGGTAGTTCACAATTATTTGGTAATATATTTTTCAATTATGATATATGATTATTTTCTACACTTATTATTCATTTACGTATGAATTTATTTCCAGCACACCCTATTATTGAACCCCATAAATTTGTTGAAGATGAAATAATTAATACTTATAGCAAAGACTATATGTTTATTGGTTGTATTGATTATATAAGAAAAGTAAAAACTGGAATGTTTGCTGAACACTCAAATCAGCTCTGGAGTATAAGTGGGGTTTCTTCCTGGTCAAAAATAAACTCTGGTCTTATTAAAATGTATCAGAAAGATGTATGTATTAATCATCACCAATGGAGCATAAATATTTCATATTCCAACTGTATTTATAAAATACAACAAATTGGTATAATGAATAAAATCAATACCATCAATCATTCCAATATATATATATATATATATATATATATATATATATATATATATATATATATATTATAGAATTTTATGATATGAGTGGAACGAATATTAAATGTTTAATATGAACAAAACAGCACTCAGATTTTTTTAACACAACTTTATTTTATGATTGCAAACGTTTCGAGACCATGGTGTGCCTCATCATCAGTGTAATTTCAATAACAGTTACTTATTACTAAACATTCTTTAATATTTTATTTAAAACTATATTTTGACTTTTTAATATAAAACATCAACTATTCCTTGCATTGGTAAGTGACAATTGTTTCAATCAAACCATTGATTGATATGTTGATATGATAGTTGATGTTTTATATTAAAAAGTCAAAATTATCCAAATATTTTCTTTAGGTTTTAGGCAAATTTCCAGTGGTGCAGCATATACTTTTTGGTTCATTGTTAAGTTTTAAAACAGTTGAGAATCCAATGAAATTGAGGTCTACACGATTACAATATAAACCACCACCTATTTTCACAACTCCTTCTTCAGTTTCTGCAGAAGAGACTAGAGAAAAATGCCATTGCCGTGATGTATTGAAGAAAGCTCCCTCAGGTATATAAGTTTTCAATAACTTGATTCTTTAATTGAGCAGTTCAGACTGTTTATATAAAATATAGTTTATATAACAATATATTGTTCTTATTATAAGCATACGCCTTTTATAATTTAGTGCAAATTTGTCTCATCTTTTCCTATCAATATTCTTTGCCGTCTTCAGATAGTTTTTAAATTATTAATATTTTAATAAGTAGTGAGTGTTATGAGTTTTTGTGTATAAAAAAAGTGGATTTTTTTATAGCAACATCAACCGAGATATCTACTATGTCACCTTCAACAGCTAGCAAGAAGTCAGTTAGCACTACTTCAGTGTCTGTAGAAAGTGAGGCGTCTATTGGAAGTTTGAGAGATGTTTCTGAAGGAACTGGAGAAGGAGATTATACTATTCCTGAACAATCTATTGGAGAAGAGGTATGTTTAATTTTTATATGCTACTGCGCTCACTATTTTCTCTGGAGGGCTGGTTTTCCTTACATTATTAGTTAAAAAAAAATTATTAAAATATGCAACAAGTTAGGAAAATTAACTTGGGTATTAATAGCAATAAACAGAAACAGTTGAACGATTTCTCAATCACATATGATAAATATTTATAATTGAAATTCCATTTAACCAGATGTCAGCATATTAAAATTTTCAAGCTAAACTAAAACCTTTCAGCTAAGCGTTGGTGAAGAAGAAATTTGCAGTGAAAATTATGCAGCATATTCAACAGAACATACAGATTCTAAGCATCAGTCCAGTGAACAATCTTCCAAAACATCCACATAAAAGCTTAGTTAAAATGTTATTGATTTAGAGGTAATTATATATTCCGTACATTGAAAAAGTTGCTTTAATTAAATTCAGTCTAATCATAAATTATTGTGTATAAAATTGTTTTATTGCAATATAGTTATTAAATACAGAAAAATGAATTACACTATCATGTGTGCAACCTCCCAGTTTTGATTTACTTTTAGGTCATTAAGTATTTCAATTCCTTCTGCAGTACAAATACCAAGTTGATATTTAGGGCTGCTTCTGGCATCTCTGTAGTAAAGAACTTGCATTGCATTAGTTATAAGTTCTCTTGCTTTTTCTTGTGTCAATTCAGGCAATTTACTGTCAGCTAATTCTCTGAATAAGGGAATTGCTAAGTGGTTGCCAAAACCAGTAGCAATCAATCTATCTTGATAAGCTGTTCCCAGTTTATCAACGGTTCCTGTAATAATAAAAAAAAATCTATTTAAATGGGCATTATTTCCTTATATATTACAAAAGTGATATATGAAAAGCATAATGAAATAACTTCATTTAATAAACTACAATCTGAAAATCAATTAGTTTCTTAACTTATTTCTACTTAATTATGAAATTATTGCACAAACTAGTGCTCATAAATAACAACAAATAATATTACTTTTCTGCATCAAAGGCAAGTTATATGATGATAAATTGAAATAATAAGTAATACAATAATTTTAGAACTATACATTTAATGTATCCATTATCTACATATAAAATTTATACCCAAAAACGGTGTTCCATCCCTCTGTACACCTCCTATGATGAAATTATTCCACAATGGATCCATCTTGCTACGTTTTCTGTACATAACTCTGGTTACCCAACTATACAAGCCGCTGGGTTGCATTTGAAAATCATCATCTAAACATTCCTCTTCCCGTACTTTAGCTTCAATCATTGATTCCATATATTGGAAATCAGCGTAATCGCCGCCAGCCCCAAAGAGAATTCTATCGTTAACCTTAATTATTCTTGGACAATCTCCAATGTACCGAGCCAAGGATCCATAGGAACCCAATGTATCAGCAGCTATCATGACCCCCTTGTCAAAACGAATTCCGATTACAGAAGAACCAGTTGTGGTAGGATTTTGGGTCCTTTTTGTATAATCTGTAGGCTGTATTTGTGAGCTTTGTTGTGGACCAGGGAAATTATAGAAGCAACCGGGAGCTGGTCCATTATTCCAAAATGGTTGAGCCCCAAACGTTCCACCGATAAACGACATTTTACACTAGTGCTTTAAAACTTACGAAAACAGTCGGTTTAAACAAAATGCTCTATCATACAAAATTTATTTGTCATTGAATCTATGACATTGACACCACAGGTATTAAAGATTGAAGATGATCAGCTACACAGGTTCTGTTAAGAAGATGACATAAAAAATTTGGATATATAAAATATAAATTTCAACCAATTTCAAATTATTGCGTAAGCTTATTTATAACTTACTAAACATTATATAAGCTAAATCATAAAACCAATCAGTCTACTCAAATCAGTTCCTACTTTTTATTTATAACGTTTACAACATTGTAAGCAAAATGTACCTATCTTTATTTTAAACGTCTATGTTCTGCTTTGGTTGCACTATGACAGATGTCAAACAAAATAAGAATATTTCAAACACATTTTATTTAAAATAACTATTTAGTTAGTTTGTTTCAAATTTAGTTAATCAAAATGGTGTGTATGGTTTCAGTTTTATATTATTATTATCAAATATCTATATGCTAAATTCTATTCAATTTGTTTTAGCTATTTTATTCGTTCTTTAAATCACTTGTCGGCAAAGACGTTGTGGTGGAACTTAAGAATGATTTGAGGTAAGTTATTATTTAAAATAATGAATAATTTATGAATAAAAATCTTTGCAGTATACATTTTTTTATTGAATGTTTCGACATCGATTATAATTAAGTAATTTTGTGTACATTAGCATAAAATAATATAATGCTTTTTCTAAATATATCATATTTAAGACCAATCATTCACAATAACTATGTAATAATTCAATTTAAGCAAGTTTTCTTAGTTTTATCCTGAGTTTTCTTATTATTAAAGACATTGTGTTTAGTTATCAAAGCATACGATATAATTATTTAACTAGATGTAAATATTCTGAAACAGTCTATTTTTATTAATTTTCAGCATATGCGGAACTTTGCATTCGGTTGACCAATATCTGAATATTAAATTGAGCGAAATTAGTGTAACAGATACAGAAAAATACCCCCATATGTTATCTGTAAAAAATTGTTTCATCAGAGGATCTGTTGTAAGATATGTTCAATTACCTAGTGACGAAGTAGATACACAATTATTACAAGATGCAGCAAGAAAAGAAGCAACTGTACCAATACGTTAAGATTATTTTTAAGTTCTTGTATTTTTTTTTTGAGTTTAGTACTTAATCTTAACATGTAAATTATTTTTTATTTTATTAAATATGTACTATTAATTAAAAGGATAAACGAATGACAAGTATAATCATATTATTATCCAATATTTATATAGTGTTGTATGGATTTGTATATTGCACAACATTTAAAAAGTGCTACCAAAAACCATGGGTGTCACGAAAGGACTTGGTGATTTCCACAAATTTCAGTTTGGAGGATGTGATGTAATAAATAATTGAATTTTTAATTACGTTTAACAAATACAATATATTTTATTTCAAAGTTTGAATTAAAATATATAACTGAGATGTTTCTTTTTGTGAACTATATATTTTTTGCTCTTTTCATATTTATTTTTGAATAATAAATAATTTTGAAGGTTTGATAAATGTTATTTACTGATCAACATTTTTGCTACAACACTTTGAGAGTTAGTTGTGGTAAACTATATAATATGGAACAGAGTCATTGCTTCAAAATGTCTCTATAGAAATAATAATACAGACTCGGGTAATAGAATGCGTAACTTGTGGAAATTTAGAGTTGCTTTTTTGAGAAATAGAAGCAATAAATATGATTTGTACAAGCTTGGAAAAAATGCTTTGTTGATAATTATTTCTTTTATATATCATTATTTCTTTTATGGAACAATTTTTATTTTTGTTAAGAATGTCAACAATAATTGGTACAGGGAGATACTGATCAGGATTGCTTTAATATGTTTGTCTTAATCATTGGGCCCCATTATTATTATAGATAAAAGAGGGCCTAGAAAATATAATAATAACAAGACTAATAATAAGAGCATAAGATAGTAAAATCAAATTATTATTACTAGTACCAAATTGGCCAGGTTGGCGCAACTGATAAAAAATGATTTTTGGTTATGAATACCAACATAATATCATTTGATATAACTGACTGGATCCACACGGCCACGGCACATGTCAAATTTTGATTTGCATCCATATGCACCTGTAGTGTAGTTATAAGAGTGTAAAGAGTTTAGAGTTATATGTTTGTTTAGTGTAAATAATAAAAATGTCTGATTGGGATGAAATTAAGCGTCTAGCAGAAGATTTGCAAAGGGTACAATTGACGACAAGCGCTCAGAAGCTGTCTGAACAAAATTGTGTAGAAATAGTTAATTTGCTACTTCAAAATAAGTCCATTGAATTACTTTTTACTGATGACGGAAAGGAATATCTTACCCCACAACAGCTCTCTAGTGAAATTAAGGATGAGTTATATATTAGAGGTGGACGCGCTAACGTAGTCGATTTAGCTAAGGCATTAAATGTAGATTTAAATCAAGTTACACATAAAGTCAACGACTTGGTACGGTCGTCCAAGGAGCTACATTTCGTACTCGGCCAACTTATAGATTCTACTTATCGCAGTAGAGTTGCTTATGAAATCAATGTGAAATTGCGAAATTTTGGGCAAGTTACCATAGCTGATTTATCGTTGCAATATGATTTACCATCGGATTATATATTACATAATATTGTCGAAAAAGAAATAGGGAAAACAATCCAAGCTGAACAAGATGATAAAGATCCTAGGATTTTGCAAACACCTGCCTATATTTATAGATGCAAAGCAAAAATAAGGGGAGCTATTACAGCTTTGAGCATACCTACTCCAGTAGCAACAATTTGTCTATATGTAATGTTTCTGAGCATATTTTGCATTCTTCTATTAATCAACCTTGGTTTTGTGGTACTTTAACTAGCAAACAGCCTGGTGCTCTATTTATTCCAAATGTTTATTCCAAGTCACAAGCGGAATGGATTAATAATTTCTTGAAACAAAATAATTATTTGGAATATGACAGCTTAATCAGATGGGGTATAATGGATCCTAAATCATATATAGAACGCACATTTAGCCAACAGTCATTTATGTTCCTAAAATCATGTGCATTAGGCTCTGTCTATATAAGCATGTTGGAAGCATCTATTGATGAATGTATTTCTAGCAAGAGTTACATTGACATAGCAACTATTCTTCCAACTATTGTTTCTTCTTCTGAAATAGAAGAATGTTTAGTACAGCTTATGAAAAACAAAGATAAAAATCTATCTTTATTTGAGACTACAGTATTCAGTTCATCATACATAGAAAATCTGTCTACTAATTGTAAAGTAGAAGCTGAGGCCAAGGCAAAATCTTTTGTTGAAAATGGCCATTACCAAAAATATATTGCAGAAAAACAACTTGCTTTGAAGAAAACGGACTCAAACTTTGATTTCATTGATGCTAAAAGTGAAAAGAGAGAAGAACGTCGCCGAAAAGCTGCTGGTGGCAAAACTGGTGGTGGCACACAAGGCCGGGAAACAAAAACTAAGTCTACTAAAAAACATGTGCGAAACAAGAAAGGGCAAAACGATTCGGATGATGAAGTGGCTGATACCGTATCAACAAATGCTGATGTACTGGAATTGGTTTCTTTAAATGACATTGAGGAAATTTTAAATAAAATATTGAAAGAGGAAGGCTTGGATGATTTAAGTGCATCAATTGCTGAGCATTTATATCCAATCATTAACAAATATGCTTTAGAGTATGCACAAACATTCTATGAGTCAAAAATGCAATCAAATACATCAAATAGACGTCAAAATCATATTGCTCTGCAAGACAAATTAAATAACATGTTGAATGATATAAGGTTGTATGAAAAAGGAATAAAGAACTTTAGTCCTGACACTCAAGCCCAATTAAAGAAATACTTGTTAAAATCGCTTTGTAACGATATAACGAATTTATTAACAAACTATTTTGCTCAAGAAAGTGGATTACAGGATTTTGATACAAATATTACAACTGAACAACGTGCTAAAATTGTTAATGAATTATCAAATGATTTTAAATCAGTACTATCAAAAAATATTACGACTTTATCAGGAGCTAGTATTGAAGAATTCTTAGAAACTGCAGAGGCTTGTTTATCAGTTGCTGGCGTAACATTAAAAAAGATTGATAAGAAAAAAGATAGAACTATTATCTTATGTCACAAACATGGTTTATTAGATCAGTTGTCGAATTCCTCTGATCCAGCAGTTGTTCTGCATTTAACTTGCCTGGCATTATATACAATTATTACACAAACAATGTTGCATGCTTCAGGAAAATTTATAAATGATATAGTCAAGTTATTACAATCTCATTTACCTGTTGAGATTTATAAAAAGATAACAGATTATCAACTTTTAGTAATGAAGTATTTAAATACTGAGGCAGAAAGTGAAGAACGCAAAGATATTCTTGAAGAGTTAATGAGTGGTATCGAAGACATTAAAGGTGTTGCAGCTAATTTTAAGAAGCAATCACAGAGTCAAGATGAATAAGTTATTTATTGGTTAATAATTTAAATTTGGTTTATGAAGTGTTAATTTTGTTATTAGGCATTGAATATCAGAGTACTTTTATAAAATGAATATGAAAATATTTATATATATTTAATAATACTGATTTATATATATTTATATCAAAACAATTTCTTAAAGAAATATATTTTAATCAAGCAATAAGTATCTTTATATAAAAATTATTGAAACTTATATTTTTTAATTACAACAAGTTTACACTTATTCTTAAAAATTATTTAGGAGATATTTTAAAGCCATTTTAAAAACAATTGGAAGCTGAGGAATATAAATCCAAGGTAAGCAAACATTCTTTAAACTTTTTATTTTTATAAGTATAATTAAAGTATAAGTGTAAGTAGTAAGTATAAGTAAATTGAAGTACTGACTTAAAAACATCATATTTAAATTATGGAGAATATAATGTAAAAAATGTATACATATAAACAATAATTAATCAGCGACTTACTGGTAGACACAAAATTACCAATTAAATGTTATATTAGAACATTCTTTGTCGATGTAATTACAATTTTCGCATAAATTTTTTCTATACTTTTAGTTATGTGTTGAACAGCTTATTGTTTTGATAGCCTAAGGATTTATCGAATGCCAATCTTCACAATATTCAATGACAAAATAATCATTGCTAAACTTTTTAAATCCTCGATCATTTGGGTGATGCAGAAAATGCTCAATGTTTTTTAAAATTCCATGTTCTTATTTCTTAATTCTATTTCAACATGCTTTTAAAACTATAAAAACTGTGCGAATTATTTTACTTACTTACATTAACAACACTACTTAATGATTTTTTTTACACAATATCTGTTAATAAAAAAAATGTGAACAAATGAATATTTAGAAAATTTATATTTTGCCCAAACATTTTGGAACTTAAACATTTTTTATCTGAATAGGATGAACAAGCGCGCTTTTTTAATTTTTCAAATATTTCAACATTTTCAAATAAATAATGTATGTAATGGTTTAAAACGAATGTTGAAATAATTACTAATTTACTACGGTTATATTTATGTATTACTTATTCTAGATGATATTATATGTAACTTGTTTGTTGTAAACTTTAAAATTAGTATTTAATCGATGAGTTCTTAAAAATTTAAGCGTATTTTTTACTAAAAATTAACTCCATTTTTTAAAAAAACCTGCATAAACCACTTTCAGTTTGATTCATAATCCCAAGGTCTGTGCACATAAAATCCACCAGGAATGTTTAGTCCAGCAGCTGCAATTGACTGCATTACATGAAAAAGGTAAATAATAATTTATAATTTGATTTGAACTAAATTTTCTTTTAATTTACGTTTACTATTGATACCTTTGAGATTAGAGATGAATGTGCAGAAGTTTTGCGATGGTTGTCCATAATTAATGGTGTGTTGAATGATTCTCCTAGAAAGATTAGCAAACGGTTATTACAATATTTGGATCATTATTTTCGTCGACGTTTATTCAAAAAACGGCTGAACCGATTTTTCAAAATAAAAAACCATTAGATTAAATTAGGAGGAGCCTTTGCTTGGGAATTAGCAAAGATGTGCAATTTTTGTTGTTACCGTTTTCGGGAAATGTTAAACCGATTTTGAAAACTTGATTCTAACTTAATTCTGACTTGTTTATTATTAATAATATTACTTGTTTATCATTATAATATTACTGAAATCTTGTAATAAGTAGATTCTAACTAGACTACTTATTCCTAAGTATGTTCTAACTAGATTGTAATGGGATTGCAACTTGATCTGACTTGATTATAACTAAAATCTTTCTATATTACTAATTGATTATTACCAAAATGTTGCAAATTTATGTGAAGTCTAACTAGGTTCTCTAATTTGAATATACATGTATTATTCTTACAAAATTCTAACTTCCAACCGGATTCTTGAACCAGGTTCAAACCTGATTCCAACTAGATTCTTACTAGGTTTTTGTATATATATATATATATATATATATATATATATATATATATATATATATATATATATTACTTACTGATATTATTGGTCATGGTGTTCTGAAGAATTTCATTAGTTATTGAACATCTGGTATTGAGATTGCTGGACAAAGCTTTAACGTCACTGAAATACATGTGTTAATGATTAAATTATTATTAGCAACATAGTTTTTAATAATTTGCGTCCTTACCAATCTGCTTTTAATTCAGAAATAATTTGTTGGTGTTCTTTCATTTTAATATCGTCACTATTTTGCTTTGCTTCTTGAAAACTTTCTGATTTTCTTTCAAGTTTATCCACTTTCATTTCATCAGAAGTAGTATCAGTACCGATTTCTAAAACATGTTCAAAATCTAATATGTGCCTTATTTTTAATTGTTATTATTTCTCTTTAATTTGGCAATTAAGAAAAAAATATATAGATACAAATACGTACTACTAATTTTTGTTGCCTCATTTATATTGTCTTGTTCTCCATCGTTAGACTGAACTTCGCATATTTCTATCTGTGATAGTAAAAAAAATCTTTTTTTTAAAAATTTGATAGTTTATATAGATAACTATTTATTTAACACGTTGACTGCCTAGTAGATAACTCGTACTATGAGTTACCTCGTACAAATAAAATAATGATTTATTGATTGTAATTTACAATACAATAATATGTACAATTTGTAAACATATTTTTTAAATTTTAATGAAATCTATGCAGTAGAAATAGAGTTATTATTAATATAATGTTATTAAATGAAATTGCTATTTTTGGCGATTTTTTTTAAATTTGTCGCGACAATCAATGGGTTAATAAAGAAATTTTACCTCTTCATTTTTCTTTAAATTAAAGTCACTTCTAAGTCGTGCTGCTTTACGCCACTTGGCACGACGATTTTGGAACCATACCTAGAATAAAATATTAAAATGAAGAAAATAAATAAGTAAATATATACATCAATTTATTAAATTTAATACATAAAATAAATAAGTAACAAATACATCAATTTATATAATTTTACAAGTGTATTTAATTTATCAGTATATACCTGAACCCGCGCTTCGGTCAAGTTAATTTTCATTGCCAAATCTTCTCTTGTAAATATACTTGGATAATGTGTTTGTGAAAAAGTATTTTCTAATTTCGCCAGCTAGACAAAAAAATTGATTATCTTATAATTATTTTTAAAATTTTTAGGTATTAGGTAATTTAAAACTATACATACTTGTTGCATAGTGAATGTTGTTCGATTTCTGCGTTGTTTTCTTCTAATGTGGGAATTATGTAGGATAGGTTGATGTATCCATAACTAGCACCTTAATAATTGTTAATTATAATTAATATTTATTAATTTTCGAAATGTTAATTACATTATAAAAGCACAAAATTTTAATTTATATCAGAAGGTATTGGTAATAAATGATTGAGTTCCTCTTTTTGTCTTGGGCGAGATGCTTTGCTTTCCCAACTTTTTAATTCTAATAATCATTGATTATTATTTACTATTATCATTGTTTTGATGAAAGTTTTTTAAGTAATTGTATATCTATCATGTCAAATTATCTCTTTATCCGTTATTTTGACACTTTCCACTCGCGAATTGCGAGATTAATATGTATTTTGTCGCCGAAGCGGCGGCATCCGAGTGGAAAGGGTTAATATAATATGTAAAAATACATCTTGATAATGTAAATGGAAATATTTTTTATGTTCAAGACAAAGTTGTTTAGCTTCAAATGCAAGTTTATTGGTTGTTCCTCAATCTTAAACTTAAATTAATATTTGTTGAATTATAAAAAATATTTACAAATTTTTGAAACGTTATTTAAAATATATTAAAATTTTAATTTATATCATAATAATTATATACATAATAAACTATGGAATTCTTTTTCTTGAAAATTTTGCTATAATGATCAACTTTTTAATCCTAATGATTCTAGTAATCAACATTTTGATTAAACTACTACATTAAAGTAGTAAATGTTGTAAATATATTATAAAACATTAATAATTTTAAAAGTTCTTATAGAATCTTCTTAAGTTATGTATATATTAATAGTAATAAATCATAATACATATAAGTAATTATTGATCATTACTTATAATTAGACAAAACAATGTAAAATTCATTTTACATTGGGACAAAAGTTTTCATTATTTTTCTGTCTTTTTTTACTCACCAGTGTAAGGAAATGCATAACTAATATTCCGTATGAAATTATTCCTAATGGATTGCTCTTGCAAAGGACAATTATAATATAACACTGCCGGAACTGAATTTTTCAAAATATTTTGCATATCAAAACTTGACATTATAGTGCTGTATGTATCAAAATTAAAAATATTTACAAATACACTTTGTATCTTTATTTTTTCGAGAAAGATTATTCTTTCCTCTCGGTTTTCAAACGGAAACTGAACTCCTACCTGCACTTATCACGAGGAAAAATCTTGCGTAACTCCGCCCCTTCGAATTTTCTAAATTCGTAGCCAATCACAAGTTGTGGAAATAGGAAAACACTTTGGAAAAATGTATTTAGATGGAACTGTAGAATTAATTACTAAACTAGGTGGCATTCTGCCCAATGGCAAGTTGAAAGAACTTTCTGATATGTGTAATTAATCGAAATAATCGAATACTATAAAGATTTTTTCATAATTAAACCACTTGTATAATATTTTAGAATGCTAAATTCATGTACTCTATCATCATAAAAGGTTTTATGAAAGATCATTTAAAAATGCTTTCAACAATCAATTACCAAGAATCGGAACCGATCTTTACTATTTTTTTTAATTTTTTTTATAAATTTTATACATCACTGAGATAAGTGCCTGGTATGAAAGATCGTACAAAATATCTATACAAAGTATATATATATATATATATATATATATATATATATATATTCTACGTGTTATACATACTATTCCTAGTAATTCTTATTTAGTAATAATAAAACGTCCGATTTGAATTATTTAAAAAACATCTGATTTATGTTGACAAAATTAAGAACTGATAAAATTTTTGGGAAAGCAGGCCTAGCAGTTTTGGAGTTGTAAAGAAAAAAGTGAAAAAAAATATTTGGCGGTCAAAAATGATCATTAGATTACATACCATTACTGATCAGTTCAGGCATATACTCTTCTTTTATCTATGAGTTCAGGATTTTTGGTGAAATTATTTCTAGACATGTTAGCTAGAAATTTGAAAAAATGGGATAAATAAGATTATTTCTGTTTGAATTAATCACAATATAAAATTTAAAATTAAACATTTTATTTTACTGAAAACACTACTCTAAATTGCAAGAAAGGCGAACGCGCAACAGTAGAGATGTTAATGGAGTTAAAGCAAAAAAGTAGTAATATATTGTAGTATGGTATTATTTTTATTATTGTACATATATACATACACACACACATATACGTATATATATATATATATATATATATATATATATATAATATATATATATATATATATATAAATTAGGGCGGGTCGAGTTGAAGGTCACTTAGGCACATATGATTTTGGATTCTAGGGATCAAAATAATATACTTTGCTGAAGAAACCATACCTTTAAAATGAATTTTGATGTCCCGTGCATTGATTCAAAGGTAAGGGTTAAATTTTAAAAAAACCTTTCATTGGGGGCTCCAGGGTGTAAACCATGGGCATGGGTGGATTGGCCTTCCACTGTTATTAGGGGTCGGTTATACATTTGGACGCTTTTGGGGCACTCTAAATGGGTCAAAATGAAAATTTTCAAATTTTAATCCTAATTTTGGGGTCAATGCACAAGACATTAAAATTCATTTTAGAGGTATGGTTTCTTCAGCAAAGTATCTTATTTTGATACCTAGAATCCGAAAATCATATGTGTCTAGGTGACCTTTAAATCGACCCGCCCTAATATATATATATATATATATATATATATATATATATATATATATGACCCTAATACGCCTTACCCCTATCACATGTGCTAGAGATTCTTAAGCCCTGGATTTAGGAGAAAACAAATGGTAGTGCTATGATTTCTCTCATTCGATATAACTTTCGGTTTAAACTCATTTTCGGGCCGTATCTGCGCATTATTTTGAATATTCTCCGTATTACCGAAAATAATCACAAATATAAAGCAGATATACAGAATTTATGAAAATAAATGGCCTGGAAGAAAATTGGTTTACACCTTGGTATCTACTACTGGTAGTGGTGGTCTTTGTTTAGGGTGAAGAAAGAGTCATATAAAGATTACTTATGTAGTTTTACAACTTTTTTATTATTTACTTATTTATTATTTATATATACATTATTTTCATATCTCAGTCAGACAGAAGTGCCTGGTATGAGAGATTATGAAAACAGTTTTCATATTTTATATATATATTATTTATTTATTTATTTATATATTTATTTTATTTATATATTTATTTCATTTGACTATTTTATTAATATAATATCTATTATAATTAAAATATCTTTAACTCGTTATCTCTTCGAAGACTCTTCAGTCTTCTTTGTCTTCAATTTTCTTCAATATTTCTTTATTTTTCTTTTAAATTTATTGTCATAATTGGTCATCTTAATATCGTGTAACTTGGTATAACATTTTTAATAAAATTTAAAATATGATTTTGTATAATTAGTCATTTTTAGGAATTTTATTCACAAATGGTCCAGAAGATTTAATTTAATATTTGTTATCGATTTAAGTTTATAATAATACATAAATTTTTGAACTTTGCAATTTGAGTTTTTGGTCACTATGATCGCTTTTTAAAGATTTTTTAAGACCACGTGTATTTTAGTACCTAAAAAAATCAAAATTTTTGGGTTTTTTTTCTAAATTTTTGGATTTTTGGATGAGTTACTAGATAATTTAAGAGCTATATATATATATATATATATATATATATATATATATAATTAAAGACCAGAACAGAAGTATCAAATTTGTTATATGCAAGAACGAAATTACTCCACCTGGGTCAATTGTGATAAATTGATATCTTGATATATTTTTAAATTATTTAAACCCTAAAATATTAAAGGTTATTGAACACCCTAAACTTTTAATATAGACAAAACATTTTACAAAAAATATTTCTTCTGTATAATTTTTCTGAAGAATTGATAAATAATGCAGTAAGATCATTAAAACGCGGTTTCATTTTTCGTTGATAAGAAAAGTTAAATAACATATATAATTTATATATGTATTATAAAATTCCAATAAAATTTAACTCTCCTAAACGCATTATTATACATTTATGCACATTTGTTACAACAACAAGGAATTGACTCTTCGTGGGTCATTTTGTCACATTATCTTAATATATTTTTAAATATTATTGAACCATAAAATAATAAAGGTATTCAACAGCTTAAAAACGAAAATATATAGACAAAACATTTCACAAAAAATATTTCTTCTGTATAATTTTTCTGCAGACTGATCGCATTTCTTTGATGAACAATGCAGTAACATCGCGAAAACACGGTTTTATTTTTCACTTTGATAAGGAAAATTAAATAATAAATATAATTCAATACCAATGAAATTAAACTTAAACCATAAACAAATATTTGGAACCTAAATAAATTTTACAATTCTTTTTAAAATGGATTGTTTTTTTTGCGTTTGAGAATTTATATTAACAAGAGAAATTAGATTTTAGAGAGAATTTATTAGCAGCAATAAAATTATTTATTAACATTTTATTTTTTTTAAAAAGGTAGTTTTGATATAAGAATTAATTAGTAAGTAAATAAATTATCTATCATAAATTTTATCTATATTATTAACTTCCCGTAGGGTAAGTTATTGTAATGGGCCGAAAATCGGAATTAAAAATTTTTACATTTCTCGACGTTTTGAAGGTTTCTGAACGTTTTGGCATACCTCAGAAAAAATGGATGTGTGTGTGTGTGTGTGTGTGGTGTGTGTATGTATGTGTGGATACAAATTTCCGGTCACGTTTTAGGGCGCACGGATCAACCGATTTGAATGGTTCAAAAAACATTCGATTCCTATTGATTGGGAAAAGAGCTGATTAGTTTTAGGCAAAGGCAGGTCCAGCCGTTTCGGAGATACGGAGCAAAGAGTGCAGAAAATAGAAATCGAATTTTTGAGCGAACGGAGTATCCGATTTGAATTATCTAAAAAACATTCAATTAGTAATGATTGGGAGAAGTGTTTATTAGTTTTTGGCAAAGGCAGGCCCAGCCGTAACGAAGATACGGAGCTAAATATGTAAAAAATGGCAGTTTTTGAGAGAACTAAGCGTCCGATTTAAATGATTCAAAGAACTTTCTGCTTGTCTTAACAAAATAATTGATTTTGAAAAAATTTGTTCCATTTTTTTTTTTTTTTTTTTTTTTTAGTATTTTGTATATCGAAAATATTTCAGATTTTATTTTTAATTCTGACTATAGTTCTTATATATTTATATAATTTAGTTTATAGTTTAGTTTATAGTTTAGTTTATATAATTCTTATAAATATTACACAATGTTACAATATTTATAATAATCTATTTGAAAACATTCAGTATTCCTCGAACATTTCGTTACGGTGCGGGAAGTTCCAGCAATTTGCCTTAAGGCACGATGCCATAATTGCCTCAAGATAGAATTCCACTTACAGCTAGTTATTCATATTGTCATCCAAAAATACTAATTACCTTATAGACGTTTTTCATTCTTAGTTGTTGCGGTTTCACTAGAGAGAATTTATTAGCAGCGATAAAATTATTTATTAACATCTTATTTTTTTTAGAGATAGCTTTGATATAAGAAATAATTAGTAAGATAAATAAATTATTTATCATAAATCTTATCTATAATATTATTCATATTGCCATCCAAACATACTAATTACCTTATGGGCGCTTTTCATTCTTAGTTGTTGCGGTTTCACTTATTTATCTGGAAGGCAAATCCCGTAATCTTGTTCTGAAAGTCCTTTATCCTTACCTTATGGTTTGATAAATAGATATACGATGATGCAGATAATACATTTTTAGATTAGGGCGATATTTTCAATTTTCTCGGCCGAAAGAAATCTGAACTCGTTTACTCGACTATATAAAATACATTTATTCCAATCAGTGACTCGTGGGTTAGACAACCAGGGATTACTTATGAGAGCATCTCAAAGAAAAAATAGTATATTTACAGAAGTATTAGTGAATTCGAGAACTAAAAGGTGTAAAATATATTCTAAATTATATTTAATATATTGTTAATATAATTAGTAAAATAAAAAAACATAAATTATAACATCTTTAATTGCTAGCTCTTTTACTTAAAGATTTTTGACCTATTGTGACAAAATCAGTTGCAGACGACATCTGCCAAAGAAAGAAAGGTGCGATTACATTTTTAAGTAAAACTTATATTAATATTTTTTCAGTCCTTATCATCACAAATTGCTAAGTAAATCTTTGCCTAATTTTTGATAAACTAAAATATCAGCATCTTTGGCCCACAGGAAATCTGTATGGGTGAACATTTGGTCCGGAATATTATAAAGTTGTATCAGATTCGATTTTAAAGCATTTGCAGTCAACATGACGTCCTGAAATACAATTAAGGAAAAAATAGGTTTGGATGTAAATAAATAAACAATATGATAAAACATTTTGTGTTACAGATATTGACTCTTACCTCTGGTACTGTGAGGATGTCGTTGCTCCCGTAATAGATGTAGATTTTGGTATTAATGTTTTTCCAAGAGTATTCCGGAGGATTTTCTGACCCGTAAAGTTTCATGTTGGTGCTCCGCTCATAATTAAATTTTGTAAATTTTTCTAGAAAAAATATTGTAAACCGTTACATTTCCAAATAAATTAATGTGTTTTAATATATAACCTTACTTGATTGTACAAGTTGTGAAAAATGATCCAACTGTTTCGCCGACGTCCCTCCTGGATAATTTTGCGCAATGTTTTGAATATAATCCTAAAAAGTCACTTTGGTTGTTATACATCACAGAATAAATTTTATTATTTTTATGGGTTTCTTACGTAGTTAAATTGGGCATCGTTTGCGCCTCCTAATAAGTATATAAAATTTGTGCAGAAAGTTCTGGACAAAAAGTCTTGCATGTTGAGGCACGACGTTTTCCACAAAGTTGATACGCTTGATTTTGTAGGGTAGAACTCGAATATTCCTATTTTTCTGGAATGTCTCTGAAAGTATAATAATAGTTGATACTTTTCTTAAAAATATGTTTGGATTGTTCTGATAAATTCGATTAGTATTGACAATGTGTAGCCCCTTGGTTGTCAAAAGCAGGATCAGCTCTTTCGCAGATGCGGAGAGAAAATTGCCCATGAATTTTTGTTAGGCAAAATTTGTATTGGTATTTGTCATAAGGTTAATTTGTGTTAAGTCTGAATGTTTCATTCCACTAACTTAATTATCATCTGACCTGTAAATGTGGATTCAACGCGGATACCGTCATCAAAATGGGACTCCTGGTGTTTCCCATAAACACTGCCGGTGCCATCAGATGTGCAGTGGAGATCTTTGCATTGTATTCTGGTTTTTCCGCCAAAAGCACCATCAGGGCGGTGCATCCCTGAGAATGCCCTACATATTGTATCGAAATGTGACCGGTAGTCATCAGAATCGCATCGATCAACGCCGGCAGGTCCAGGAAGCCGATTTCGTGAAAACTGCAAAATAGAAATATAAATATGGAGTTATGTGTTCTAATTTTTATTTCAATTTCGTTGACTGGTTGTACCTAAAGTTCCAAAATTCCTTGTCTGTATCGGGATTGAGGTTGATGTGACTTCTGGAAAACGTAGTCCCACGTGGGTTGCCGAGCCAGACGTCGAAACCCATTTTAAATAAAAAGAAACCTTTCAGAATCAAAAAAATTATTAAAAACAAGATTGGACAAGTTTTACATATTCTTGTACAAAAATCGTATATAACGTCTTTAATTTCTACCTTTCTTACCTAATGATTTTTGTCCTATTGTGACAAAATCGGCTGCAGTTGACATCAGTCCAGGAATCAGCAAAACGGGATGTCCTGCAGGATTGGATATCCTGTGCAAAGTTAGGATGTATCCATCTTCCGTTGTCACTTCGTACTTTTTTACCGGAAATCCGTTTTCTGATATTAATTTAACCTGTTCACAAATATTTTAAGAATGTCATTATGGGAATTGATTTCGAGTTAACCCACTTTACTTTTAATATTTTTAATAGTAAATCAACAAAATGGTTGTGTGAAAAAATCTTGTTTACAAATAAATATATTGTACAACTTTTCTCAACAATGCTACAGCAACTTTTAAATAGATATAAAACACAGAATATATTCCTGAAATGCATCACTTTTATAAATTATTCATAATATTTACATCAATTTATATTAATGACGAATTTGACAAATTTAGTCAGTATTGAGTGATATATAAAATATGTTGTAATATCTAATTTTTTTCACAGTATAACAAAAATTTTAACTAGTATATTCTAAATAGTACATAAATGAAATTTGGTTAAAATTATATAATCAACAACAGTTTTTGGTTTCACAATAACTGGATAATGGTGCTAAAAATAGTTGGATAAAAATGTCACTAACCACTCCATCAGGTTCTTCGAGTGTTAACAGTTCTTGTGTTAAACAATGTAATATAAATATTTGTACAAGTAATTTTGATTTAACGGTCAGCATTATTAATATTTATGCACTTTTTAAGTCGTTTATACAGATATTTATTAGCAATTAAAAAAATTAAATACTCTGCATTTAACTTTAACTAAAAATTCACTGCGTTCTTCATGCTTTTCTTCGTCTTTTGTTACATTTAGTATCAGTTAATAAGAGTTTTTTCTAGCCTTTTTTAAATAATGTTGAGAACTTGTTCATAAGTGCAGTCGCAGTAAACAAATGACTATGCGTTTATAAATAATAATGGAAATATCCATAAACCTGATTATTTAATAATACTACTCGAATAGTTTTTATAAGAAATACAGAAGGTCTTTGCAATGCAACAACCGGTATATATATATATATATATATATATATATATATATATATATATTAGCAGACCCGGTAAACGCTGTTTAGCTATATAAAATATTTCTAAAAAAAAATTATAATAACAAATAACTAACAGATTGTGTACGTAATTGCATACATATGCATATAGAATATAATATAATAATTAAAGGGACAGCTATTACAAATTAATGAATGGTTTACACACTGCAAAGCATGCAATATATTATTACCGCGCTTTTTATTAATTCATTAATTTATTATTTATGATGCAAAATCAGTGAAATGAGTAAATTTCACTAAATTTACATTTTATTTAAAAAAAAATTGAACTTAAGCTTTCATTGACTGCATGCGGGATGAAAAATTATTCAATTACTAAAATTATTTTTACAAAATAGATATTTGTGGTTATAGGGTGAACATTTTGGACTGTATGTGTTTTTTAATTAAGAATTATAAAAAAATTAAATTAAAAAAATGGTACACAAACTAACAATAAAATCTTAAGGGTCACCAACCCTTACCACTTAGGGCTATGAAGAATAGATTTTGGCCAATTCTCACGATCAGTCAAACTGATTGCGATTATAAAATTTCATAAAAATCGGAAAAAAGATAAATTAGGTTTGAAATTTTTTAATAAATCTTGCAGAAGTTTCGAATTCTTATTTGATTCCTTCATTTTCAGTGCATCAATTCAAAATTAATTTAAAAAACACAATGATAACAAACAATGAGTGAATGATGTGTAGAACAGCAATATTTATTAAATTAAATTTTTGATATTTAATTAAATTTACATTTATTTTGTGAAATAAAAGTATATGTATATATATATATATATATATATATATATATATATATATCAGTAAGACTTTTTATAATGAGTGTACGAATATTAATAATTTTATACTACATTTTATTTTTGCATTATAAGCATTTTATTATAAAATACTAAATAACAATCGTTTTGAAACCGTGTTTTCAGTGTAAAAATTAAATAGCAAAAAATAATTTCTGCAAATAAAGTTTCGAGGGTGGGGACTGAAGAACCAAAAAAAAAACACCCCTAAAATGAATATTTAAGCTGATATTAGATTAATTAATAAATATTTTTGACTATTAATACATTTTATTAAATAATAACAAATTATTAGTAGAAATACATAGTGCGTGCGATTTTAAATCATTAAATTTACATAGGTGGTACCTATGGTAATATTTATATAGGTGGTACTCTAGTTTGATGTTTACTATGAACTTCACACCGCGCTATTAACGTGCAGCTGTCAAATTTGTCAAATCTGACAAATGGCATACGTCATTAAATAAAAATATTATTATTAAATGATTTTTAAAAATGGTTTTAGATATTAATCAATGTTGTTCTACTTGGTGGAACGAAGTCTTAAAAAAAGTTAAAAAGGCAGTTGTATTCATTGATAATGCAGCTGCCGAAAGTTTTCATTGGAATGCAAATTTAATAGATTTTTACACAGCAGGAGCAGAAAGTGTTAAAGCATTTTCCCCTTTCGAAGTAAATCTTATATTTGTAACACTTTATGAGTATTTTTCTCTATAAGATTTAAGGAATTACTATATCAATTGGGATATCTTTATGGAAATTAATTTAAAAAAATCTTGGTTTAGAAAAATATGTTGATAGTTGATAATATTAATCGTTTTAATACTACCTCAATATACAACTCTTAATATTACCTTAATAATATATATTAAAGAATTGTTTTTAATTGAATTAATATTAGAGGGTCGAAATCATTTGAATTTCAAGGGAAAGCAGATTTATTCAAACTCGTTCTCCAACCATCTTTTACATGTTTGTTGTAAAAGATAACTATATATTTTATTTTATTTATCCCAATTTTGTAATATGCTATTTTGTTTCTCTAAACAAATTGCATATTTTATTAAACATCCAATTCAATGATGGCCTAATTTGTAACTGGCAATAATTTAGAACTAGACCTTATATACGAAATATAAATATGTAAATTAATATAATAAAATATTTTTAGAGTGCCACAAAAAAATTTAAGAAAGCAGTTTTTATAACAAGTGCATATGGTAGCAATATTGAAGTTCTTAAAATTATTATTGAAAGCAGTAAATTTGAATACTGTGTTTTAATAACTACTGCTCATCCATTTGTTTTGTCTCGAGAAAGATACAGTAATGAAACAGCAGATAATGAAATGCAAGCTTTCAATTTGCTGGAAAATGAAATGCTGAAATGGATGGGAAATATGGTATTTATTCAAAATTACACTATTAAATGTGAATATTATTAATATTTAACAATATGTTCATTGTTAAATTTGCAGGATTATACAGCGGAAATATTCTATTTTCCTTTATTTATTGCTCCTTTAACTAAAAATTTCTTTATCACACCAGAATTTGATCATATGTTTCCACCATTGCAAAATCTTTCTGATGTACAGCAAAATAAAGATATTCAAACATCAATCAGACATCTTACAGCTTTATTGCACAGTCTTTTCGGAATAATGGGTTTAAAGGAAGATATTTTTTCTTTAGGTGATTTTAGTGCTATTGTAGCTTCAATGTTGGAAAACTTTTCACCAGCAGCTAGTAGGAGAAAGGTATATTATTATTTATATTCTATTATTTAACTGTAGAAATATATACATTAAAATGTATATGCATGTTATATATATATATATATATATATATATACATATATATATACATATATACATATTATATATTATATTATATATTAATCATTTTCTTTTATTTATCTCTGTTAATGACAATAATTAACCAGAATTCATTTGTTGGATTATGTTTTCATTTTCTTATAACAATTTTGAATTTTTTAATGTCTTAAAGTTTCAAGCTTTAAATATAACAAGAACACCATATTGAAACCCAATTTTTTCAGAATGCATCAAACTCAGCTACTTTAATTTTTATTGATCGCACCCTGGATTTGAGTTCAGCATTGTCGCATAATAGTGAATCAATATTAGATTGTATAAAGTTAATTTTACCAAAATTTCCTGGGCATAACTTAGACGTTGCAGTTGATATGTCATCAATATGCAAAGCAAATGTGTAAGATTGTTTCATTATGATATAAATATTCAAAAAAAATTATAAATATATTTTTAGAGACAATAATATATCTGATGATATTCAATTGGCACCAGGATGTCTTGCTCAACCTACTGAACAAGTTAGTAGAAATATGATGGAATTATTAATAACTAGCAATCAAAAAAAAGTTTTAAGTCAAGTTTATCAAAATTTATCAGACATTAAATATGCAACAGCTGTTAAAAGTCCCCCAAGAATAACATTGCACACAATAGAAAAAGCTATGAATTCTCTTGGAGGTAATATTTAGATACATTGACAAAATTTCTTCATTATTTATTTGTTTCTACTATTTTTTACTGTTTAGATGATTGTTATTTAAATACTACGGCATCTGCTACTTTGCAACAAACTTTGGCTATAATTAAAACTATTAAATCACCACTAATGCCAATAATTCAATTGAAACTGAGCTTGGAGCAAATTATTCTTCAAAATTTGGCTGCAAGTAAAAATTCTACTAGTATATTATTGCAGGTATGAAAAAATATTTATTAAATGATTAAAATATATACTAAAAATATGTCTCTTTTTTCGAAAACAGCTGTGCCAAATTATCAAAAGTCGTGATAGCAGAGGCTTAACTCTGGAAGATATTTTTTGTTTACTACTTTATGTTTACTGCTTAGCTGGTTCTGACATATCGTTTTCTGAAACACAAGAAAATGAATTATCAGAATGCCTGACCTCAGCATTGAGTGACTGGTCAGGTATGATCTTTGAAAATCATTTTTTTTCCTGCAAATCAATTTGAATTAAGCATCTTATGAATATATATATATATATATATATATATATATATATATACATTTATAATTTAACATGAATGATTATCATTAGAGGAGTTAACAGTGGACAAGGAAACATTTGCTGAATTTATTATATCAAAACTTAAAATAGCTGCTAAAGCTAGAGAAAATTTAACAAGGTATAAATCAGTGGTACACTCTGCAAATAAAAGTCAACCAGCTGAATTCAAAAGCATTTTGGAACAACTTATGGAAGACTTATTAAATCCTTCCAAACCAGAAATGATTGATTTAGCTTCAAAGTCCATTGGAATAACAGATCTTTTAAAGAGCAGTTTGAGGTAAAGTAGTGGCAGTTCCAAAATCATTCATTTATTTTTTAATATGTTTTTTTTTAGCTTGCTTATTAATAAACCCAAGAAAAATATTCATCCTGCTGATAACGATTATATAATAATTTTTGTTGTGGGTGGAATAAAAGCTCATGAAGTAAATTTGTTACAAAAAATGATGAATAAGGAACAGAATAAGAAATTATTGATTGGTTCTACAAAGCTTATAACTCCAATAGATGTGATAAATACTGTGTTAGAATTGAAGGAAAGAAAATCTTAATAATGAATTATTTATTATTTGTATATTATAAAATGATGATTATAAATATATTTAATATATATTTTCGTTATGTTGAGTTGTATTTTCTATTTATATTATTTTATATAATCAAATCTTGTGACAAAAACACAAGAAATTCTGAAAGGAAATTATGTTACACTATAGAAATATGTTTTAATTTTAATAGTTTTAAACAAAATCTGGTCAATATTTTCTTTAGTTATTATATGGCCCAAATACAAATATAGGTTTAATAGCATCTTATCATATTTATTCAAAGTATTTTTTTATAGTTCGCAATATATTTATTTAAATCGCGCGTGATGGAAAGGGCTGGCAACCCTGAATTATTCATGACGCACGTGATCAACTGACCAACTGCAATTTCAAAATCTGATTAATCAAAATCATATAATAATTAAAAATTTAAATCAAACAAAATCAACCGTAACGTCATAAATTTAAATAAAATTCCAAAAATAATACCTAAATTAACGTAAAATAAATTTCACATGGATTGTTAAGCGGTTTGGTATGGGGTTGGTATTCGCTACTTGTGTCATGTGCAAAATGTCATGTGCTTCTGTCATATGAGTTATTAAATCAAAACTTCTCGTGTTATGGCTGACGGTTCATTAAATGAAGTAAATATGGGAGAAAAAGCTATCGACCCACAAGAGAATCAAGATCATCAAAATGAGGATGATCTTGATAGTGAAGAAGTAGTTGAGGACACTGTCAGCGTTGAGGGTTAGTGCGAAATATTTTTTAAAAAAAAAGAACATTCATTTCTCAATTTAGCTACAGGTCCTTTATTTTCTTTAATTTGTTGTTAATCAATAAGGATTATTATATAATAGCTCTCCTTATTCACTTATAAAGTCAGAACTTTTCAAAATCTTTAATTATAATTCTCAGCACCATTAATGTATTTTAAATTTATATACAGAGAATTGTGTTGTCATATTTCATTACTGATCCTATTTTATATTTTTTCAATTTTTCAGAATACAATGCCATAGACAGCAAATTAGATGAATTAAATTCTGCTCTCGATTTCATTGAAGCACAAAATGATAATATTTATTCTCAGCTTTTGTCATTACTGCAATCTAACAGAGAAATACGAGAAGAATTAGCTGAACAAAATTCTTCAGGTGATGAGGTTCAAAATTAAAAGGCTTGAAAGAAATAAATGTCATGAGTATTAAGAATAATATCCAAAAATATACCCATATATTCCTTCTATGTCAGAAAATAGGATGTAAATAATAATTTTTCAGGTATGTAATAAATATTTACATACATTTACATTTATATTATTTTCTTGCTAACTGCTTTTTCTCTTATGCCTAGAGCTCATGTTAATAACAAATTGAGACAAATGGCTACAATTTATACAATTTTTTGTTTAGAAATACTGAAAATTTCCAGAACTGATATAGCATTCCTTAAAATGATTTAGCAATTTATGTGATTATATTTTTATTAACATTTAATTATTTATTAGTTACAAATATTAGTTTATTTGTAAATGTAGTTAATATATCGAGTTTCTCATTGGAATGAACTGTATCTGTATATATTTTTAAATCATAAATATTTATAATTGCATTTGATACTTTTTTATTTAAATTTCAAATCATGTAACCATACTTTTGTTAAATTTGAAAATTTACAAAAATTAATTTAAAAATATACAGTTTATTTTATTCACATATTTGTGCCACATTTCTTTTGGCGCATACCTTGTGGATTTTCAGTAACCTGAATTTTCATGGCCTGCTGCAAATAGTAGCATTTTCTTGAACATTTCCAAGTTGATGTCAGTAACAAATAATACATTTGGTAAATTTGCAAATATTTTTCTATGATCCAGAACCATTTGCCCTCGTGCATATAATCCTTGAAGTTCAACAGTAGCATGAACTTCATATGAATTTTTGACCAAATCAGGGTACAGAAAGCATGCTACGCAAATAGCATCACACACATAGTAAAAATCAGTCTTGTATTTTCCATAAATGCTTTTCTCAATTGGATTCATTAAATTCATTTGCGCATTGTTAATTTGTCCCATGACATCAAATCTCCATTTCTGTAAAGTAAATTAAGAGAAATGTATTTAATCTTACATCTACTTAATTTAATGTATTATTTTAACACAGAACTTCATCTCAATGGAGAAGAAAATCCCCTTAAAACTTGCATTTGATTTTAGAAAAAATCAGAAGAAATGTATTATATTTCATTATAAAATTGTTTTTTGAATATCAGCATTTGTGCCGAACTTTTACTGAACATCAATAAATGATTTTTACTTTTGAATATTTTTTTTTATTTATTTCAATTTTGATTATTTTTGGATCCAAAAGAGGAAGGAAATTAATTGATTTACTCACCAAAGGAAGATTAATACTTGTACATGTTTCCCAAGGTACAATATGTAATGGCTTCTTTGCATTATGCAACACTAAAAATGCTGCCTCAGGATCACATACAAAATTAAATTCTGCGGCTCTTGTTTTATTACCCACGCCTAAAAGAAAAAAAATAATTTGGAATTTGAATATATGAAGCAGAATATAGTTGAAGAGAATATTTTATAGTTTTAGTATTCTAAAAATGATGTATTTTGTTCAATTATGCCACATAAGAGTTAAATACAAACAAAACTCTCTGAAATAAGTACATCAAGCATATTTTAATAATAATATATCTACCTTTATAGTTGCCACCCATTATATAAACATCCTTAGTTTTGTCTAGAAAACCTGGATACATTTTAATTGCAAGTGCTGCATTTGTCAGAGGCCCAACAAATATAAAAGTAATTTCATTTTCATACTGTTTAGCTGCAGAAATAAGGTAATTTACTGCATTTTCTGGTTTAATTAAACTCAAATCAGGATCATTTCCATAGTGCTCCAAATCACCAAATCCATCACCACCATGGAACTCAGATTCTGTGGAATTTGGAATATCTAAAGGAATCAAACCTTCCGATGCACCTTTGTAAATGGGGATCTAAATATAAATAGAAAAAATAAATGCAAAATATCAATGATAGCTTAATTACTGCACATATTTTTTAATCAAAGTTTATTGTGAGTTATATATTGGCTAAGAGGTGAATCATATTAATGACTTTTGGGAAAAGGGGTTTTAACATGGAAAATTGTGGCAAGGTATATTTATATATAAACATACATACATATGATATGTATATGACTATATAATATATGCATATAGTAATATGTAATCATAGATAAAAGTATATATATATTGCATATAATGTTGGAACAGTAATCTTTTTCATGTTATGAACAGTGTCCATATGAATAGCGTGTTATACATGAGAATAATGAAGCAAATTTGAATAACAATTTATTATCGAGCTCGATATGATATATAAAACTTACATCTAAAGCCTTTACTGCTCCCAGAACACGTAAAACATTTATCGCAACATTATCCACATTTGTATTACCCGCCACACAAGTGATACCCATTAGTTCCACATCACCCCGTTTGTGCGCTGCTATCAGCATGAGCAAAGCTATGGCATCGTCCGAACCGGCATCTACGTCGATTATAACTCGTCGTCTTCCAGCCATCTCTAAAAATAAACCGCGTCAAGTAAATTAATGACAAATATTAAACGTTTTGTTAATTTTGTGATTTTACCGTATTGAGTGTTACTAGAATATCATGAAAAAAGTATTTGGAAATTCTCTTACCTTTATTTGTTCAGATGATATTCTAACAGATGATGTCTCTGAAATAATTTTGAATACTGACCTTCGACACAAACAAGAACTACGGTTATGTTTACTTAGGATTCTTTTTCAATTTACTAACACAGACTAGAATGTTATCGCAACATGAGATGCTTCATAGACGACTATATCCTATAAAGATATCTACATGACATGTCTTGTCAGATTTTTTGAATGCAGATAAAAGATAAGTAAGTCAAGTCATGTGTTTTATTATAATTTATTTTATTCACTATAATCTTTATATTTTTTTCTTTCTCTAAATTATTTTGTACTTTATCAATTATATGTACTCTATATTATTATTTTATATTGCCATTTGCACCGTCGGCAGAAATATATGAGATGCTGTAAATCAGCGGTTTCCAACCTGTGGGGTGCGCCCACTCAGGGGGGCGCGTACATCTGTTTACAGAATACTATTATCGAAAATAACCGACATTTTTGAAATGTTATTAAAAACTTAACAATAAATAATTAGCTTTTAACTTCCCGTAGGGCAAGTTATAGTAATCGCAAAAAAATCGAAAATGGAAATTTTTATATATCTTTACGTTTCAAAGGTTTCTGAACATTTTGGCATACCTTAAAAAAATGGGTGTATGTGTGTGTGCGCGTGTGTGTGTGCGGATACAAATTTTCTTCGACGATCTCGGGAACACCGATCAACCGATTTAAATAATTTATTCATAAAATATTCGATTCATATATTGATAAGGAGACGTGTTAAAAACTATAGTTTTTGACGAAGGTAGGTCTAGCCGTTCCGAAGATACGGGGCAAAAAGTTCCAAAAACGGTAACTCAGTTTTTAAGAGAACGAAGCGTCCGACTTTAATAATTCAAAAAACGTTTTACTTGTATTGACAAGATGAAGAATTGATCAAATTTTCATTAAGGCAGGTCTAGCGGTTTCGGAGATCTAATAAAAAAAGTAAAAAAAATGCCATTTGGCGGTCAAAAATGATCAATAGACATATGCACGTCAAATTATCAGATATTTTATAGAGATTTTAACAATAAATATAAATTTTGTTTGCATTCCAATGGGTTCCGTACCAATGTATATTCGTTAGACGGCGACGCGGCGCTTAGGCGCTTTGACATTTTGTCTTTATGCGATTGAGGTAATACGATTGCTTTGAAAAAAAGTTCAGAATTTCCAAAATATGTCAAAACAAAGAAAACTTTTTTTTTCAAAAAAAAATTTTTTTTTCAAAAAAAGTAATTGATTTTTTTCACAAAAATCTAATTTTTTCGAAGTCAATTTTTTTTAAAAATGTTGATCGTTTTTAAAAAAATAATATTTGGTACGGGAAGTTCCAGCAATTTGCTTTAAGGCTGGATGACATGCGCCCCACTAGTTATGCATATTTTTACACAATAATTTGTAGTCTGATAATATCAGTATAGATCAGTAATATCAGTATAGAGTAGTCATAAAATAAAACTGTTGAAAAAATTAAGGGGAGCGCAACAGTTTTTTTTAATAGAGCAGGGGGGCGCGGTGCAAAAAGATTGGAAACCACTGCTATAAATGTTTTAAAATTATCTTAAGCAATAGATCTTTGAGTCGCCATAGTGATTATATTATTAACGGTATTTTTGCATTTTATTTTGATTGATTTTTTTTAATTTCGAAATTGCATCAATTGATCTTCAGAGACGCTCTAATCGCGGATATATTTACGAAGATTAAGTATTTCTTTATACTCAAAAAGTGTAGTTTTTGAAGTTGAAGCATTGCCCAAGGTAGAATTTATTACAGAAAATAAATTCTTAATTATAAGACCATACATTTCTTACGATAAAAACAGCGCAATTAGCAATTAAGATTAAACGATTCATTCGCAAATTCCACAGTTAATTATTGGCGATAAGAATATGATCAGTTCTATAGAAAATTATTTTGAATTTTGTCTAAGAAATTCAAAATCAATTTTTGTCACTGTTTGTTTCTAATTTTTATTTTATGGTTTTTATAATGAAAAAAGTTTGAACAGACCTTAGAAATAAAATATAGATTTTTACAGATTTTTTTGTGATCCACATTTGCGCAAAAAATTCACCAGCACTTAAAACTTAAGAATCAGCTGATGGACTTGTACACAATTTTATCAATTTAAGTTCAACGTGAAAAATTAGTTGCAGCCGGAATTTACAACCAAATTGGTTGTTTTTCCTCTCGCCTGAATCTGCATTTTAGCAGATTTTGGTAGTAGCTCGGCAATTCGTTGAATTATGGAATCAACATTGATTTCTTAGTATCCTGGATTTTTATGTCCAGCAGCAAACATAAGCATCTTCTTAAAGATGTCAGTGTGTAAAGCTGTAACAATTCTAACATTTGGTTTGCAAGAATCCTTCATGGATCGTGTGTGATCTAAGACCATTTGACCACGTGTTAATTTTCCATTTAATTCAATTCCTATGTGGATATCAACGAATTTTTTGATAACTTTCGGATTTAAGAAGCAGGCCACACAAGATGGGTCGCAAGCCTCGTAGGCTACGTGCGGGTGCATATTGAAAATACTTTGTTCTACCTTGTTCATCATCTTCATGTAAGGGTTGTTAACTTTTCCCATGGTTTCCATACGCCATTTCTGAAAAGTGGATATTTATATGAATTCATGGTATTTCCGAATGCAAGGGAATGCAATACCGATGGAAAATTTCAATACCGGTATTTCGGTAATTTTTCATTTTAAAACCGGAATACCGGTAAATTACCGGTATTTTTATTATCTTACACAAACGTAAACAAAATTGAAAGTTACTAGTACAAATATAAAAAAATATATATACAACTACAACTATATTCAACTAAACACTAAAAACAATAAAATAAAACAATAAGTTTATTTTTTTAACTAATAATTTAACAAAATTATATCCAGTTTAATTAATTCATTATCACTATATTGAGTACTTTTCACCAAAAAACGAACTTATGAGTAAGAAAGACCAAAAACTCAAAAAAGATCATATTACATTATTATAATAAACTGTATTGTCTATATCCGATGTGTTAAATTAGCATAATCTCCAATATTTAAAAAAATAATTTTCTACTCTAATTTAAGATCGGATACTTTGTCAATTCAAGATAAAAAGTTACTATAATTGTTGAGTATTATTATTTATCACCTTGTGATGCTTCTATAGTATTTTCAAACTTCGAAACGTTTTCGAAAAAATAATATTTTATAATTGTAATAGGAAGCAAAAATATTTAGTAATTATCATAATTATTATGTATAAAGTTAGAAAAAAATAAAGATTACGCAGAGGTAATCTGTATGATATAAAATATTTTGATGCAAATATTACTTAAAAACCCGTTACATTTTTACATAAGATGAAACAAACATCTATCTATCAGTCCAATTCTATTTATTGTAACACGGTATGAAGTCCTTAGTAAAGCAATAAATATTCAGTTTAATGACGAGTTGAGATAATATTTGACATTTGTTTATTCTATAGAATCACTTGAAGATATAGCTGTTTATGCGATTATGGAATTTGAAGATACATTTGTTCCGAGAGAAATTTAAACTTTAGTGTATTTTGTATCAAATAGCGCTTATGTAAAAATACCGAAAATACCGGTATTTTTGGGGCAAATACCGGTAAAATTATCGCCGATAAATCGGGCGGTTTACCGGTAATTTGGTATACCGGTATACCGGTATTGCATTCCCTAATTTCTACATATTCTTTGAAATGAGAGTGTCTTTTACAATAACAGTAACAATCGTTATGTGATCTCAAATATATTTATGATTTTGTCTGAAAATGAGTCTACCCAATAATTTTTCCTATGAATATTTTCTATAGCATTTTATAGATGTAAAGCAATTCCTGCAGCGTTAGAATTATTCAACGAAAATTCTGCGGCAAATAAAAAAATGATACAATTGATATTCAAAAATTATAGAGGTTACGTTCATTTTGATGTAGAAGCATTATCAGATTCATATGTTTGCCTACACTTACCGCTGTTAATTTGGAATTGAAGCAAGTTTCCCATGGTAAAACAACAACTTGGTTTAGAACGTTATTGAATAGAATATGGGCAGCTTCAGGATCCATTCCAAAATTGAACTCAGCGGCATTGCTCATGTTACCAACACCTGCAAAATACATGTTCATAACAACTTGCTGGATTATTTTTAAATTTTAATTTAGAACGAGAATTGCATAAATTGTATAAAAATGAATCACCATACAAAACTTACTAGTAATTATTTTATAGTCGGTTGGGATTTATACAAAATATGCTAATAATTTTATTTTATATATTTCTTCCACTTACCCATCCAATTACCACCCATGACATAGAAATGTTTGACCATCTTCACGAATTTCGGGTACATTTTAATGCAACATGCGGCGTTTGTCAGGGGACCTACGAAGATCATTGTAATGTCTCCAGCATATTTGCAAGCCAATTTGTTTAGGGCTACAACGGCATGTTCTTCTTGCAATCGACACATATTTGGCTCCTTCTTATGTTTGACGTCTCCAAATCCGTCTTTGCCGTGCCAACCTACCTCTTCGGGGTTGGAGATTTTTGATGGAATCAGGGCGTCTCTGCATCCTTTGTAGACTGGGATCTAACAAAATAATTAAGTTATTTTTTTAATTAATAATGTAAAATTTAAAATAAGCTATTAATGCAAATACTGTATTATTAATTCATTAATAAACTTGCAAGCAAGTTACATGAACTTCCCGATATGTGTAAATAATTGACTTAATCAATAATAAACAAATTAATTTATGAGTGACTAGAAGTATTCCGAATGGATTTATTATACATAATTGAAAACGAACGAACACGTGAACTCAGAGGATTTTCTAAAAGCAAATTTTCACAAATCAATAATTTTTTTTATAATTGAACCAGTTTTCGTAGGACGTTAATGGTTTAGTATGTTCATTAAGACCAAGTAATCTATCGTTATACCAAGTAAATCATCTAATTTTAATTTTAACAAACGTCAAGAAAACTACTCATTTTCTCAAACTTTGATGAATTTTTAAAATTAAACTACTTGTCGTAAGGCCGTAATATTTCAGTAAGTTTTATAAGACCATGATATATATCGCCAAAAAAGTTCCATAAAAATCGGCTTAAATTTTTTTTTCAACAGTTAATTACAAGAAAACAGCTAGGTAGATTTTCACCTAAAACACATATTTGGCTCAAAAACGCTAATATACTAATACTAATCAGTATTATTCCCCGATTCGGTAGAATGAGCTTAAAAGTGGACGAAAACACTCTTTTTCAAATTACAAAGAAACGGCTCGGCAGATCGTCTCACAAAACTGACAAACTATAGTGCTCATTGAGATACATCGAATAGCTTTTAAATTTCTGAAATCGATTCAGGCGTTTTTGAGCAAACGTCGATGAAAGTTCTAATTTTGACAAATGCCAAAAAAACGATACCAATTTTTGCAAACTTTGACGAATTTTTAAAGCTAAACGAGTTGTCGTAGGGCGGTAATATTTTAGTATGATCTAGAACAGGCATCGGCAACCTACGGCACGCGTGCCAGGCAATTTTATGCCCATTGTAGTAATTTTACACCCATTGTAGTATTGTTTACAAACATTGTAGTAATTTTACTCCCATTGTAGTATTTTTGCAAACATTGTAGTAATTTTACACCCATTGTAGTATTTTTACACCCATTGTAGTAATTTTACACCCATTGTAGTATTGTTTACAAACATTGTAGTAATTTTACTCCCATTGTAGTAATTTTACACCCATTGTAGTATTTTTACACCCATTGTAGTAATTTTACACCCATTGTAGTATTGTTTACAAACATTGTAGTAATTTTACTCCCATTGTAGTATTTTTGCAAACATTGAAGTAATTTTACACCCATTGTAGTATTGTTTACAAACATTGTAGTAATTTTACACCCATTGTAGTATTTTTACAAACATTGTAGTATTTTTACACCCATTGTAGTATTTTTACAAACATTGTAGTAATTTTACACCCATTGTAGTATTTTTACACCCATTGTAGTAATTTTACACCCATTGTAATATTGTTTACAAGCATTGTAGTAATTTTACTCCCATTGTAGTATTTTTGCAAACATTGTAGTAATTTTACACCCATTGTAGTATTTTTACACCCATTGTAGTAATTTTACACCCATTGTAGTATTGTTTACAAACATTGTAGTAATTTTACACCCATTGTAGTATTTTTACACCCATTGTAGTAATTTTACACCCATTGTATTATTGTTTACAAACATTGTAGTAATTTTACTCCCATTGTAGTATTTTTGCAAACATTGTAGTAATTTTACACCCATTGTAGTAATTTTACACCCATTGTAGTATTGTTTACAAACATTGTAGTAATTTACTCCCATTGTAGTATTTTTGCAAACATTGTAGTAATTTTACACCCATTGTAGTATTTTTACACCCGTTGTAGTATTGTTTACAAACATTGCAGTAATTTTACACCCATTGTAGTATTTTTATAAACATTGTAGTATTTTTACACCCATTGAACTTATGTACATCAAATTATCAGATATTTTATAGAGATTTTAATACTGTGTACATATTATGTGTAATTTTTTTTTGGGTTCAGTACCATGATTTTTAATTTCAGTATGGGAAGTTCTAGCAATTTGAATTAAGGCACGATGCCATGCACCCCACTAGTTAATAAAAATGTTTAAAAGATAAATTTGGTTATAATTCTTCTCCCCCAGAACCTGGTTATATATTTCAGAATTCAGGCGGCACCCTGAATCATATTGGTAGAGTGGCTCGGCACACCACAGTTAAAAGCTTGCCGACCCCTGATCTAGAAGACTATGGTATCTACCTTCAAAAAAGTCATAAAAATCGTCGAATTTTTTTTTAACTTTATTTAAAGAAAACGGTCCGGCTGATCTGTACCAAAAAATAATCAGCACGATTCCTAACCTATATCTTTCTAACGGTTTTTGAATTTTCAAAATCGATTCAGAATTGCGGGCTAAAACGTAGACGAATTTTTTTTTACTTTTCTGCGATTTGTAAAGAAACGGCTTGGCCGATCGTCGCACAAAACTGACAAACAATAGTCCTCATCGAAATACATCGAATGGCTTTTAAATTTTTGAAATCGGTCCAGCCGTTCTTGAGAAAACGTCGATTTACGGCAAAAAATCTGTTCACACACATACTTTTTCCAAATTTGGTCTCATTCGATTCAGAATGGCTTGAAACGTCGAGAAAACATAAAATTAGCAAATCGGATTTTTTGATGAAAACAAACTTCTCCTTCAAGAAGTTAATTATCTATGTTATTGCTGATATATCGATTACATTTTTGCAAGATCGTTGCAAAACAAACATCATATGATGCATTGACCTGTTTGAGATGCTGTAATCTTAGATATGGCTCTGAAATGAACTTTGTTCTTTGGCTCCTTGAGCAAATATAAGATTTTATTACCATTACCTAGTAATCTAAAAGCAGAGATTCTGTTAGATTTAATCAAAGCAATTCTCACTTTTGTTTCCTTTGTGGCTTCTAAAATTCTCATAACATTGACTATGACGTGATCTAAATGGGCATTGCCGCCAACGCAGGTGATAGCTCTCAATTTGATGTCGCAGCGTTTATGAGCAGCAATCAGCAACAATAGAGCAATGGCATCGTCAGAGCCAGCATCCACATCTATCACCACATTTGGTATCTTTTTTTCTTTACCGTCTTTATGTTTTAACCTATATGACGCTGAAAGGGGAAAAATATTTTTAAGCATTTATTTGGTCATTGTAGTTCAATCATTTAAGCTTAAATTAGGTAAGAAACTAGATACCCAGCTGTAAATTTATAAATACTTGTATATTGGCAGCCTAAAGTTGTATTAAAACCTACATATGGTAGGGTGTCAATACCATATGTAGGTTTTGAGACAACTTTAGAGTGTCAATATACAAGTATTTACAGACATACAGCTGGGTATCTTGAATTATTAACATATATTACTCATTTACCGGTTTTTATCAACTACATGAATACGATTAGAGTAGGAAATATTATGTAAGTTGTTGAAATCTCATTTCAAATTATTAATTTGATTGAAATAAATTGATCTATTAATCTACAATAGAAGATCTACAGACTATATTAATAATACAAGGGTCATAGGCCAATTTCTTTTCAAACTTCTACTACTGTTAGATATGTAATTAGTATACTGATCCAGTGGAGTTTGTATGATTTTATAAGTTCAGGACATAAAAAACTGTTCTATATCTAAGTGCAGTTTTTTTTTCAAAAAAATATCGAACTGATTAAAACAAGTAAAGAATCTCCTGCATTGGTTTTAGAGAAGAGAATTGTTCTATTACTAATTTGATCTTATAAAATAGATCATCTTGGTAAATGATCGAATTGACCAAATGGTAAAAATCACGATTCGCATAAATGGTACTTGGACCAACTCTATATACTGTATATAAAAGTTGATATATTTGAAAAAATATATGTGTAATGCTGAAGATAAAGATATTAAAATAATTCAAATATATATAAAATGAAATCTTAAAAAATCATGGAATATTTTGGAAAATAAAGGAATAAGATGCATAAAATATATGGTTTAAAATTGAAAAATGTAAGAGGCTAAATTTTATACCAAAGACACTAAAAAATAAACAATTAAAATTTATTTAAATAATTCATCAAAATTTTACCTCAAGTAAATAAATTGTTTGTAACCGTTATTTTATTTGATTAATAATAATAATGATGATTTACCTGGGTACATTAAACTTTGTTTCTGCAAAAAATTGCTGCATCCAATAAGTCCTGTTCTTGAAGTATTATTTAGTGTGACAAGTGTTCTTGTGGCTATATTAAAAGATTTTTTTATCAAAAATTATTAATAGTAATAGTAATAAATTGTTTATCATAAACCTGGAAAATCAAGCAAAAATAGTGTAATTTTTAAATATTGTTGATTTATGAATACCATAAAAGGATTGTCTTCAAAATTAAATGCATTTTAAAATTTTGAATAATTAACTAAAACCAAATACGTTTGGGACATATTGTCTTTATTCGTAATGAACATTGTAGCGAAACGAAGGAATTTATGTTTAGTTTAAAAATAATCAAAAAATTGTTGTTTATTTATTTTATAATTTCATTTTTGAATATTGCTATTTTTCAAAGCGGTAACTCTAAATTTAAATAGTATGTATACACATTCGAAAGAATAACTCCAGTTATTACAATATTCAGAATACTTTCAAATAATTTTAATTGCCTTAAAATTTGCAATAATTTTTATACAGTTTTGGATAGTCGAATAAAATAATTTTAAATTGGTAAATTATTATCTTATACCAGGCACCCCTGCCTGAGTGAGATAATGGAAATGTATATAATGCAAAATAAACAATTTTCTTTTATTGTCATGTATTGTCACAACAAAGAGCGTGTTTAAATGAGTGTCATGACGCTGTTTATTATCAAAAAGTATGTAAATATTCTATTTATCATTTTGTCCCAATTAAAGTAATGTACATATTCCTGGTTCACAAAGTACACAATGTACACATTCCTGGTTCACATTCCTTGTTTTTTATCCGATTTTGATAAAATATTTTGACTAATTTTCCAAGTCTTACCTGTTAAGCATTTTGACTGCAATATATTCACGTTGGCATAATTATTCAATAATGGCATTGAGCAGCTTCGTGCAAAAATTGTTTTGATTGCCGCGTTCATTGTGGATCGATTTTTTTATAAATTTTTGGAAAAAAATACTGAAATTTAAAACATTTACAAAATATGAGGACGAATTTAAACAAATGAAGCTATTTGATCAAGCCTCCTGATTGATGACGCATATTTTGTTTTATGAAAATTTATGCCATGGATACATTTTTACATGGATTTGATATTTGTTTAATATTGTTTTTTTCTCAAAACTAATAATTTTTGATTAAACGCGAAAAGGTGTTTATGATCGACGTGTACACTAGGAAGATATTTAGAAAATAATTAAAATAAAAAATATATGTCCTGGCTACTTTTGTATTTCTTTATTTAATTTTGAATATGTAATAAAATATAAAATAACATTGAATAAGTAATTTATGAGAATACTAAGATTAAAAATTTTAGTAAATAATAAGTAATTTGCTCGTGGCTCTAATTGCACTAACTCATCTATATAGGTCGACCCTTACTATATTTTTTCAATTTTTCAAATCAACATACAGTACATTTCTCTTTTGCATTAAAATTTAAGATTGAAGAAGAAGAATAAAATTCTGAATTCTAATTATTATTAAAAAGAAGTTCCAGCGAATAATACATAAAATCCATGCTTATTTCTTTAAAAAAGTTTTTGGTTTGCTAAAATGATCAGGATCAGAATCTCATCAAAGAATTACATTTTTACATTAAAACTTCTTGTTGAATAAAAATATTGGGTTCCGCAGTTCAATAAAAACAATTGGCACATCAGCTTTTGGCCATCGCGTACAGTGTAATATAATTATATAAATATTCAAATACAAAGTACATTCATATAACTAAATTTACAAAGTATTAATTATATTTAGTTTAAATATTTTTTCTTTGGAATGAAAGTGTGACACTAAAGCATAAATTTTTTTAGTGTCAAAATACTGATACACCAAATCATCATAAATCCATTTATATGTCATAACTCTGCACAGCTATGTCCTGCAGCTACCATGAGCATTTCCTTAAATTTATCTTCATTCATTTGCGTTACTATTTTTACATTTGGAATATGAAGATTATTGTGATCGATCACTGTTTGTCCTCTGGTAAATCTTCCACAAAGTTCAACTGTAGCATGAGTAGTAAAATACTTTGTGATCACCTTTGGATCCAACATCACAGCAACTCCGGCAGCATCGCAAGCTAGATATGAAGTGTCGTTGTTATGGAGCATGTAAATGGACTTTTCAACGGCGTTCATTAATTTCATTTCTGGATTTTCAATATTTCCCATGACATTGAATCGCCAATCCTAGAAAATGATCGATTCTTACCAAAAAACAGAACTGATCTAACTAAATAAACTAAACTGAACTAATTGAACTAATTCGATCAGCCAAGTATATATATCATTAGTTTCTAATTTATTTACGGGTTATTGAATGATTGATTAGTTTGTTTTTATTTATTTTTTTGGCAATCTTCAAAGTATGTTCTATGTTTATTAACATTTTTGGGACGGCACCGATTTCAAAACAATCTACTTTACCGGCTGAGAACTTGATTTCATTGTGCATGTAGGCAATTTGTTTGATAAAAATTTGTGGTCATTGAAGGACATACATTTATAATATTAATTTATTTTTGATCATTTTATAAAGAATGGTGACGTTCAAAACAATTTCTAAAATGCATAGCTGGTTGATTTTGACATGTTTTACAATAAAATGTTATTCGACGCCTTCCTCCTGGTGCTTTTCTATCAGAACAGACAATACAATCTCTTTTTCTTTCACTCGCGTTTAGAATATGCCACTGATTAGTCAGTATTTTCGGTCATTTTTTGCTGCCATAATAGTTTATTTTTTCTATCATTTCTATTATATTTTTTCTATTATATTTTTTTCTATTATATTGTCTAATAATTCATTTATAAAATATAAAGCAAATAATCTATTGGATGTCTTATATTGCTTGGTATTTGTAGTCGGAGTGTTTGTTGGTGTATGTCAAGCTCGATTATTGAAGGAGAATCGGCACATTCGCTAATGTCTCCCCGCTCTTCATTTATTTTGTCGAACTTCTTCTTTTTGTTGGTTGGATAATATCATCATCACATTCATCACATTCATCAATTTCGTAAAATTTGTCTGTATGAATGTCTATTTGAAACTCATCTTCACTACTGCTTAATTCACAAAATTTACCAGTCGTTTTGCCATATTTAAAAGCGCTCGGTCGTTTTAAATATTAAAAAAAAGACCATATAGCAAAGAGAAAAGCTAAGAATTCTACTTAACTTAAATTTACTTAATTTACTTATACTTACTTAACTTAAATAATTTAAAATTATTTTCAAAATACAATACTGTTTATCACTGCTATATGTAATTTATTCAACTTTTCGATGCAAACTGAGTCATTGTTTATAAAATAGCCTGTGCCTCACAGAGTATGTTTGTCCACTGAGGTGGACAGCCGTCCCCAAAGTATTAAAAAGCAGAAATATAGGTTGTTATTAATATTATATACGTACTGTTGTGAGGCTCATCTCCATACACGTTCCCAAGGCAAAAGAGTTATATTTTTATTAGTATCCCTAAATATCAAGTAAGCTGCTTCAGGGTCCATGCCAAAATTGAATTCAGCAGCATTACTTTTATTACCAACTCCTATAAGAAACGGTAATAGATACATATAGGCAAAACAGTAAATAAATATTAAAGTTTCTTATAATTACTACATCTGTAAATATATCGTTACTAACCTTTATAATTACCGCCCATAACAAAAATATCTTTTACCAATTCAAAGAAGTCAGGATAGACTTTAGTGATTAATGCTGCGTTTGTTAGAGGGCCAAGAAATATTACTGTTACTTGTTTTGGAGAATTGGAAATGATGCTATAGATAGCATTTACTGCATGTTGAGGTTTGATTTGATTCATATCAGGGGGTTGTTGTTCGCCATAATCTAGATCTCCAAAACCATCTTTGCCGTGCCATTCTTGTTGCGATAAGTCGTAGTCGGGATTTGGAACCAGACCTTCATTTGCGCCTTTGTAGACAGGAATCTAAGGAAAATGAAATTTGTTATATTAAAATAATATTTTTGTATTGAACTATTTGTAGATTCAATTCAATTTATTAATTCAAAACAAAGATTTTAATTCATGATAAGAAGTAAACACATACATAATTCTAGCAAAGTATTATGGATAGTAAAATTGCCAATTCTGTGTTTTTTCATGGTGCATTGAACAAATTTAATAATCAAAAACAAGATTTGAATAAATGCTATGTGGTTTATCGATTCTATATTAAATTTTATGAAGAATTCGAACTATAGAAGAAGAAATTAGTCTTTACTGCTCCAGATACAAAGCTCGTCTAAGTCGTCATCCAAACGAATTAGCGTTAGATCTGCTCAAGCGTTTACCACCAAAACGTCTCAAAAAATGAATCTGCAATGATTTACTACAAAATATCACATAACATCTAAGAAGGTGCTATCGCTGGATAGCGATCCTTCTCACGCAGTCAAATAATATATACCTCTAATAAAATATAGCTGAATGTACTTTGTATAGTTTGCTATGATAAATAAATCAAATATATATATATATATATATATATATATATATATATGTATATATACATATTTATATATATATATATATATATATATGAAGGTATTAGCCGAAGACCTTCCCGAAGCCGAAAACCCCCCGAAGAGCTATGTTTTTATATAGTAAAGTTTTTGAAACTGTTCTACTGGTAATTACCAATCGAGAAGGTTACTTATATGTGGTATAAGTAACCAAAATTTTGAAGCCAAAACTGAAAAAAGTATGTGTGTGCGGATCAAAATTTGACCTCGTTTGTTGGTGTTCTTCCAATAACGGCAGTATCGTTACCATGATTTTAAAATCCTTTAAGTATTTTTGTACTTTCGGTAAGGACTCGCGTTTCAATCAAATTTACAAAATAGCACATAACTAAGATTTCGAATTTGAATTGGTTAATTATATATAATTATCTCTTTTGGTCTTACATTTAGAGCAGAAGCAGCCTCCAAAAGCCTTAGTACATTTGTAGCAACGTTGGTCAAATTTGTATTACCAGCTACGCACGTAATGGCCTTTAATTCGATTTCTTGTCTTTTGTGAGCTGCTAAAAGCATCAGCAGGGCAATTGCATCGTCTGCACCAGCATCTACGTCCACGACAACCAGAGGCTTTTCAATTTCCTTATTAATTTCGCAACTATAAAATTTATAAAATATATTTTTTTAAAAGCATAATTTATATATTAATAATTCAAATTTAGTGACATAGTGCTTTAGATAAGATGGATAGATTTTCAGATGGGCAAAGTGGGACAACTCTGGAGGAAAGGAAATTTTAAGAATAAAAAGATTGAATAAATTTTTGGTCATGAGCTAGCAACGTTTTGTATCAGGGCTTGATAACAATCAGTGTGTTATCAGGTTTTTAATTTAGATTATTGATCTCAAGAGTAGCAAAAATAGCCTCTAGGTAGATCTCAGCAGATTCATTTTGTTGCTCTTCATTTAGGATGATGATCATTTTTCTATCACATATTCTTCGATCAGCTTTAGAGACAGCATTTATATACGAGTGTAAAAATATTTCAATTCCATCTTTATCAATTACATTTATTAGTGCTTTAGATAAGATGATCAGATTTATAGATGGGCGAAAAGGGACAATTCAGGAGAAAAAAAATAGGAGTAAAAAAAAATTAATTTGTGGTAATGAACTAGCCACGGTCTGTGATAAGAACGTGAATTGCAGCCACTAGTTCCAGATTTGATCCCAACCTCGGTTTGATATCAAGCAGTGTGATATCAAGTTTTTAATTTAGACTATGGATCTCAAGAGAAGCAAAAATAGTCTCTAGGGCATTGCTGCAACATATATGAATTTCAATATATAATATATAACCACTCTGTTGCCTTCAGAACACATGGTTTAATTGCTTTTGAAATATAAAAAAATTGATTATATAACTATTCTTTAATTAACTACTGTATTAAATGTTTATGAGAAATAAAAAAATCCGAAAATGTTTTAAACGTATAGAGTACAAATATTATTTTCACATCTGCAAAATCGGTATAAAATGAAAATGTACTGATTCATGTATTATATAATTTTTAATAATATAGGAGAACGTTGAAAATGCGTGACAAATACATATATAAAAAACGTCAACACAAATCTTTGTATACAAATACAAAGTTTTTTTAATTATTTAGATACAAATGAGAACATACATACATAATTTTGCTCGAACCAATAATTAAATGAAATTAGCGTTATCTCTTCATTATTCGACCGCATATTCATACGAGACAGAGTAGATTATTTAACTCGCTTACCTTACATAATAAATAAATATTGATATTACAAAGAATATTATCTTCATGTTTACTATTCTTTCTTCTTATATCGTTTTCACATAAATTCCACTTCACATAATTTATTGTAAATATTTATTTGCAATAATAAATAAATATCACACGGTTGAAATTAAACTTGTTTACTATAAAATTGTGACAAAACCAGCAAAAATGAAGGCCATTCCAAAGTTATAACGATATGTTCATTTATTTATATATATTCATACACATATACAGTTACCTCATAAATAAAGAAGAGTATTCATATGAGGCACTTATATTCAATGGTATTGTTTGGTCGATGATTAGCTTGAATGCTAATCCTGATAAAATAATCTCAAAAAGATATGATATTATAAAGCATTTATACTTAAATAAATTTATATAAGTATAAACGATATATATTTATTTACATGAGTTAATTTATATAAAACAAACCGAGATCAGAATGGTGTTCTCGTTTATAATATCTTTAGAAACTTTATTTCATTTAATTAACCTGCAAAAATTAATGCTTTTATAAGATTTTATTTAGCACAAATGTTATATTTGATATACGATAAAGAATTTATTGTATGAGTTAATATTACTAATTATATATATATATATATATATATATATATATACATATATATACGAGGTGTGTTCAAAAAGTACCCGGGATTACTAATAATTAAATTTCGCGGGTCTGGAGTGTCTGATTGTCAAAATTTTTTTTTATTGTGTTGGTATACATGCCCCTAAAGTATGATGAAATTTTCAGCTATATTCACTGTTTACTTTGTCTGTGGTAGTCGCTAAGGTTCGACGTGTTTTTCTGAGCTCGGCGATTTTTACAATGGAAGAATTGAAAAGTCAAAGAATTTGTATTAAATTTTGCGTAAAAAATGAAATAAAGTGTTGCAAAGTGCAAAAATTCACCAGATATGGCTCCGTGTGACTTTTTCCTATTCCCAAAGTTGAAGAGACCCATGAAAGGACGGCGGTTTTCCTCGATTGAAGAAAATCGCTGAGAGTGCTCAAGGACATATCAAAAAGTGAATATCAAGGGTGCTTCGAAAATTGGAAAAAACGCTGGCATAAGTGTATTATATCTGGGGGGGACTACTTTGAAGGGGACCACATTAATGTAGACGAATAAATAAATATTTTTTTGAAAAAACGAAAATTCCGGGTACTTTTTGAACAGACCTCGTATATACGCACACACACACACATATATATATATATATATATATATATATATAATGAATGAACTTCCCCATGTGTAGATATAATAATAAAAATTGAACTTTAGCTATTTAGATGAAATTTTCAAATGTTTATATGTTAAATATTTTTTTCTCTTTCTCGTTCTTAGAGATCAAGTCGTATTAAATTTAAATTATTTAACACATTCCATTCTTTTTACGAGGTCTTTTTAAAATTACGAAATCGGTTCAAGATTTTTTGCTATTGGGGATTTGATATTAGGGAATTTGACTTGGCCGAGCATCTTGCAAAGCTAATGAACTTATGGGGCTAAATTTTAAATTTTAACTGAATTAAATAAACTTACTTTCTACTTAAAGCGTTACGAAGTAATAAAATCAGCAAATCTGATTTTCTGACTAAAATATAACTTCCAAAAAGGTCAGAAACTGTAACATACAAAGACACGTGGTTCTACATATTCTAATACAACTAATTGTCACGATTCTATATTACAATTTTTTTATAATGTAAACAATTTTTTTCGAAAAATTTAAAAATTTGCACAATGCGAAAACACAGAACTCTTTAACAATGTATGTGTTCGAAAAATGAATATACATCTCTATTTGAGTATTGAACATCAAATAAATTCAAAAATTATTTATAATATAAGTATAAATATAAAAGGCTGTTCTGTTAAATCTCGGAGAGGTTACTGATTGCATAAGGACAATTTCAAAATTATAAAGTGCAACGTGCAACCTTAAAAAAGCACATGGAAATTCCGGTTCGAATGGAAGATCAGCATTCAGGAGATTTAAGTATGAAGGAAAAAAATATTAACTCCTTATAGATGGGTTGACCCACCAACTTGAGATCTCATTAATTTAACCTTTATTATTAATGTCATTGTGATAAATGTTGTTGTGGCTATTGAACAGCTTCTTAGATTAGCTATCAAAACATATAAATTCCATATTTACATTTAATTTATCACATTTTCGTAGATATTTTTTAGTAGTATACCTTGTGGAATAACAACGTTAAAATTAAGTATTTAGTGTGTAATTTTATATATAATGTAAATATATATTTTGTAATATATATATATATATATATATATATATTTATATATATATATATATATATATATATATTATTGATGCCTGCTACAAAACTATGTATAATTATATGTAGTGGAAGATATATAATTATAAAATATATATACCACTATTTCTCATTGCTAATACAATTGCTATTCCAATTTTATATTAATTGAATGTACAAATAATATAATTGTTTATTATTTTAGATGGAACATTCACATAGCGTTAAACAAATAAGTGACCAGTATTACCAGCTCGGAGAAGGTCCACATTGGGATGACTCACAGCAATGTTTATACTTTGTAGATATAGTTGCAAATATTATTGGCCGTTATGATCCAGCTACAAAAACTACAAACAAAGCAGTTGTCGGTAATAAATTTTTGAATAGTAAGATTATATCTAATACACTTGTTTAATAATCAAATTAAATTATCTGGTCTGTCGTAATGCATAAATTTGACTATTTATGGTATATTAATAATAAAAGTATTTATAATTTTAGGAGGAGCTAAACATGTGGGTTTTGTAATACCAGTCACAGGTTCCACTGATAGATTTGTAATTGGTTTTGATGATAAAATTACTTTGATTGAATGGAATGGAAATGCAAACAATGTTACGATTGTCAAGGATTTGGTAACTGGACTTGAACCTAAGATGGGAAGAGTTAACGATGGAAAAGCTGATTTTCAAGGGCGGCTTTATACTGGTAAAAACTACTTCGCTTTTCAATAATAATAGTACTCAATTTATAAAAATTTCATTATCATATAATCCAAATCTTATAAGTCCGTCTTACAAATAACTTGTGCAATTATTATTTATATTTTAGGGACTATGTTGATTGATTGGACATCCTCTGATGTTCATTGTGGTGTTCTTGTATCTTATTCTCCTCTGGACAAACCAATGTTAACAACCAGAGTAAAAAATGTTGGATTATCAAATGGTTTGGCTTGGAATGAAAAAACAGGGAAAATGTACTATGCAGATTCTCTAAAACATGCAGTTACTGAATATTCCTATGATAGTAAAACTGGTAATATTGGTAAGTACTTATATATGTTAATTGTTCATGCTATTTTTACAACTCACGAATTTTTAAATAATGATTGAATGGAATGTTTTATAGGTGAAGGAAGAGTGGTGTTTGATTCTAAGTTACCTCTGCATGGATTACCAGAGGGATCTTTACCAGATGGTATTACCATTGACTGTGATGGGCATTTGTGGATTGCTTTATTCTTTGGTGGTCGAGTTGTTCAGGTAATATCTGTTCTGTTAACCATTAATTACAATTTGATCATATTGATATTGGTTAATATTGATATGGAAACTTTTTTGAATTTTTAAAATCGGCTTAGGGCTTTGAGTGAAAACGTGGTCAAAAAATGTTGCCATTATCTGCTAAATATGAAGAATTAGCTCGGCCGATCGTGACGCAAAACTGTAGTTATAGTTATTATATTTATTATTATAATCAATGCGTGTTTTACCAAGTTTCATCGAGGAGTTTTAAAATTTATCAAATCAGATCAACAGTTTTTTAAAAAATTTTGACGAACGATCATATTTTGGTCCATACATACACTGATACTATTCCAATTTTGGTGTTAAATGATTCAGAATGACTTCAAACGCCGAGTAAACATAAAATTAGCATATTGGCTTTACTGGCCAAAACATAATCTCGTTTAGGAAGATAAAAATAACCCGCACAAAGTTTGAATTGTATAGTTTGTAGCTCTAGGGAAACTAATGCTTAATGCTCAATTATCATATATGATATGAATACAGATAAAAATATGTGGGTATTTTCATATATGCATATAATCGGTGTGATTGATTATTATGTTATCGGTTTAAGGTCGATGTGCAAAATGGTGAAATATTGAAAACCGTTATTATTCCCACATCACAAGTGACATCAGTGTGCTTTGGAGGAAAAAATCGTGATATTTTGTACGTTACAACATGTTCTCTTGGACCTAACAACAAATCATTAGGTCAGCCCGCAGGCGCAATTTTCGAAGTGACTGGTTTGGGTGCTAAAGGTCTTCCTGCCAATACTGTTCGCTTAGACAACTAATTCTTGGTCCAAAATTGAATATATATATATATATATATATATATATATATATATATAATATATATTTTTATTATATTTTTGTTATAATTAAACAAGTTTGAAAAGAAGAAAACAGTTTTATATTTTTTATGGTGATGGTACATAGGTTCTACTTTCAATAAACATAACAAAGTTTCTTCACCATCTTTCATAAGCGTAATAAAAAATCAGTATCACTAAAATCTAAAATTTATTTCACGTTCTATGTTATTCAAATACAATTCTTTGTTGCCAAGACGTTTTACCAATAATTCACAAATGAATATTGCAGTAGAAATTATCATTCCCAACGTCCATGCGATCAGAGCCCCGGAAATGTGGTCGGGCTTTAACTTTACAGGTCCGGAATTGTCGTGCATAGTATTCGATAATAAAATACCTAATTGGACCTTATTGTTTAAGTATTTAATTGAAACCTGCGAAAAAAAACCTGTTTGAAATCTTAAAAATCGCGGAATAAAAATGGAAAATATAAGTTTACCTTGAATTCCCAAAATGCTGGCAATCCTGTTTCTAATATTCTTAAAATATGCATGTTATAGGAATCCAAAAATGGTGAACTTTTAGGCATCATTGCCACACACTGCTCCCAATAAATATCTTCCTTCATCAATCGCAGACGATCGATGTATTCTTCTTTTATATAATCTCCTACCGCAAAATGATCTATATATGCAATACATATGTAAATATTATGTATTTAATATGCAATTAAATAAATAAAACCTGAAGGGTTTTACATATGCAATACATATGTAAACATTATGTATTTAATATGCAATTAAATAAATAAAACCTGAAGGTAATCTTTCGACACTGAAAGCAAAATCTCCGGAACGTTGTCGCTTAATCAATTGGTCATCATTCAACTTTCTGAACATGGATCGTAAATGAATCAATTCCGGCTGTGAATGGAAAATAAGTGTCTATTTTAAGCTCATATGAGGCACATCATGATTATCATAAGATCGTTTTATTTTATGTATTTTAATGATTAAAACTGAGAATTTTCAATTTATCAAAACCGAATTATATTAGTCCTTCGGACGTTGATAGTTAAATTAACGGTTTCCACATTTTTTTCAGTTCAATTTCTTGTTTTTCTTTTTATTTAAAAACTTGAACAATTACGATATCTTAATATCTACTTAAAGTTACCTAAAATTTTTACCTCTTCTGCTGCCACTAAAGAATAAAGCCAAGCATCGGAGTTTGCTCCCCATTCCATATTTTTGGATGACAAATCTTTTACTGAATCGATTGGTGGATCGTGTCTACAATATTCCAAAATCGTGTCAAAAATATATAAAACTTACATTATAAAAGCTTTATGTATGCAAAATTCAAGCTTTATGTGTGCAATTAATACATAAATAATATAAAAAGCGGTCTAGATAGAATCATGAGTGCTTACACTGGAATAGTCATAATACTGGACAAGCCGCCAGCATATGCATTTGACAACATCAAAGCCAGTAATAAAATTCCTGATACGATAAATCTGAAATATAACAAAACACAATTGAATTAGGAAGTAACCCAGTGGTTTTCCTTTCTAATATGAATGTAATTTGACTTATTGCAACATTGCCGAAAAAGCTGCCTAAACAATTGTTAAGACTTTAGATAAGTCTTAAGACTTTAGATAAGTTTCAAAATAAAATTCATATAAATTATTTATATGCTTAAAGAAAAAGTATTAAATGTTTTTCATCTTACCTGTTATATTTTAAGCTATCGGCATCCGGTGGAGGTTGTAAAAGTAAATATCTTATAATAAAGATCGTTTCGTTTTCTATACTTGTGTATGGAGTATTTTTAAATTTATCAGAAATATAGGAAGCAATTATTGATACTGCTATAGAAACAATAAGCCCAAGCCATAATTTTGAAGAAAAAGGTCTTATTGGAATCGACCATCCCGGACGTAACCTGTAAAATTAGAAAATCAATAATTACTTACATAATAGTATGAAAATAATAATATTAAGTTAATAACTCTAGTCTAATGTCCTTATTATCCTAAGATTCTAGATGAGTTTTTGATTTTGATGAAACTTTGCACAACGATAGATTTCGATGTATGAAATAACAGGCTAAAATATTTCAGGCCTACGATAAGCGGTTGAATTATAAAAAATATGAAATAAAAAAAATGTAATAAATAAATTAATTTGATTTATATAACTACAGATATTATAAAAGTATGTTTGAAAGACTTCAATTGGTAATCGTATTGATTATTTTGTAGAGAAACAGAAAATGCTATTTCTTAAACAGTTATATTTACCTAAATAGCTGAATCTCAATTTTTATTGATGAAATTTATTACGTATACATATCTGGAAGTTTGAAGCCTTAAGGCAAAATGCTATTCACAATTAGTTATAATTTTTATTGTGAGATATGTTTACCATAAACCATTTCATCTGCTCCATATATATTTAAGTAATGAACGAGAATATTATGTTTAAATAAATAAATCTAAAACAGAACTCTTATTGTTAGCAAATGAGTTCGCTTGTAACTCCAAAGATTTTTTGAGAATATAATTTTTTTTCAATGTGGTCGACCTACTCTAAGTTTATAGATTTCCAGCATTGTACGTACAATTTAGTATGAACAAGAATCTTCATTATTTTTTGAAATATGTAAATATATTTTATTTACTTTGGTATAGGTGCTATAACTGTAATACCAGTTCGAACCATCGGAAGAGAAAGATCCAGAAATTCATATTCGTGATACCATGAGTATACTGATCCCACGCCTAAATCCACTTTTCCTTCGGAAAGAGTACCAAGAATTCCTATTCCAGTGCCATTTTCATATATTTCTCCCCATTCTTCTTCATCGACTACGAATTAATAGATTTGTATGAATTATAAGGAAATATTCTTTTCAATTTTACTTGCATAATCTCGTTCCCAAGCATCAGATTATCTTTCAATGATGATTGACAGAACTAATTCTTACCACCAATTAAGCTAATAGTGCAATTATGTTTATTGCAGAATTCTAAACAAGCTCGAAGTTCCGTTCCATCAATATAAACTGTTCCGTAACTTTCTGGACCTTCTTCTAAATATCCGGCGTTTCCGCCAGATTCCACTCTTGTCCAAATAGCATACGGTTTATAATTAAATGTTACAATTTTTAAATTTCTTCCTGAAAAGATCAAATATTAAATATAGATAATAAAAATACCTATTTTTATACGAGTACCTTCCATATCTGATATTTTATTGGAAAATAAATGTCGATCAGAACGGAAACTTGCATTATGCCATATGTTTAAATATAGTTCTTCTGTGTGGTTGTATTTTCCACCATATTTTGTTGTGGATAGCTTGTATGAATTTTGAGAAGATTTTGTTATAATGACAATATTAGGAAAATCTAGAAAAAATAATTTTTGTATATGCATAGTATAAAGACATTTTTATTGAACATTATTAAGTATATCCTATATTATTATACCTTCAAATAGTTGATGTTCCAAAACAGTAGATTCATTTTGTTGCTCTTCATTTAGGATGATGATCATTTTTCTATCACATATTCTTCGATCAGCTTTAGAGACAGCATTTATATACGAGTTTAAAAATATTTCAATTCCATCTCTATCAATTAAATTTATTATGTACGCCTAAATTTTTTATAAATTATATTTTTTATTAGATGATGATTATGAGTATTTTAATAGAGAAAAGAGAACAGATTACTATATAGTAATCTAAACATATGTTTATTTTATACTTACTTCGCAACCAGCATTTAATGAATTTAGCACATTTTCTGTTAAATTACTTTCATTTTGAACATCATACATAATTATGGGACTATTCCATAGAAAATTATTCACAGAATTATATTCTCCATTGACTCTTTCTTCAAATATTGCTATGCAGTAAGCATTTTGCAAATATAGCAAAGCTGTAATATGAAAACTATCTTTCATATAAAATTATAAAAGAAAATAATTAATTCAGATATGCTAAGTTCAAGGAGTCGTCAAATATATTTGAATTAAAAATTGTTCCTGTTCATGATGACTGTATCAGAAAAATGTGAAAGGTAAATTTAACTCTTGTTAAATTGCCTTAAATAAGTGTATAGTTTGCGCTGTTATTGATTTGATTCACTATTTCCACTATACTAACAATAATATACTAACATTTTCAAACTAGTAAAATATTCAAAGTATTTAATTTCGATACCTATTTTTTCAATCAACCTAACAATTTCATCCGCTGTAATATTTAAAATCATTGCTCATTATATATTTGCTTTTTTTTTGATCTATACAATAAAATATATGATTTTTTCTATTGAATTAAAATGTTAATTTTCTGTTATGTTATTAGATTTTAATTGTAAATTTTTAACAAACACGTATTGTGATTTAAAGTTTGTATCCGTTTATCACATGCAACTTCGAAAATAAATATACACATATCAAAACCTCTCATATTTATAGATACTCAATAATTATTATAAATAACCGATAGACAAATATTATAATTCTTGTCGAAAACATTATAATTGCTTGAAATGGAAAAAATAATTAACAAGAATCTGATTTGAGTTTTTTATGGAAAGTATGGTAAAACATGCATGATGAGTTCCAGATGCACGTCAAAAATAACTAACTTTGAATTATTTATTTCAATTGATATTTCTGGAAAAATATTGGGGAAATAACCACAAATAAAAACATATGTAGGAAAATATTTTTATTTTTTTAAATCTATTATTAATGATTGTTCTAGAATTGATGGGTATGCTTATTGTATAAATAAGGGATCGTTCAAGTATTACGTAAGCAGATTTATTACAATTATTTACCCCCAATCCCCCTTGTCAGCAAAAGTAAGCAAAGCTCTTACCCCCTACCCCCATGATTACGTAAACATTTTGCAATTAATGTAAAAAAATAAAAATACTACCTATGACGTAATCATCATCCAGACTCCCCTGCCCCCCATGTCAACCCAAAATAAGCAAATCAACAACCCCCCGCCCTCCTATAGCGCTTACGTAATACTTGAACGGCCCCTAAGTAATAAATATAATATCTAAAATAAGTTATAATTCTTTTATATTTCTCTTACTTGGTCGAATTAAATCGCAAGTTTACGCAACAAAATGCATTCTTATTTATCTTTATTTCTGTGGTGTTTCAATAAAATAGTAAAATAATTAAATATAAATATCGGATATTAAAATGTACATGATAATCTTTTTATTACTATTTCTGGATTTATGACCATCGTCTTTCAATATTAATATTTCTATTATTTTGCAAATAAGGGAAGAGTGTAAGAGGAGAGTGTAAATTTTTACCAAACCGTACACTTGAATTCGGATACCAAGAATTATTCTTGAATTCAACTCAATATATCTGATAATATATATGAATAATTGATTTTTGTAACAGATCTGCCCTAAGGCAATTCCATGGTCTGTATGCTTGAATTTTACCCATTTTTCCTTCATTAAAGTATTAACAATTGTTTATAGTTAAATTTTATTGATGCTAATTGATTATTATTATTATTATTGTTATATATATATATATATATATATATATACAGGGCCGGTCCTGGGGTCCTCAGCGCCCGCATGCAAGATTTGTTCTAGCGCCCCCCCCCCCCAATAATTTCAACTGTTTTATCAGTTTTTCATTAAAATTTTCTTTTACATTTACTTACATTACATTACTTTATTTTTTTAAATTAATTTTTAATCATTCTGGATTTAGTACACAATAATTTAGATATAATGTAAAAGCGCATAAAATACATTGATTTTAAATTTATTTAGAAAATCGAGGCGATTCGCGGGTTGATCATAATCAAATATTTTTAAATTTTCAAATCTAACGTAGGTGTAATATTAATATTTTGTTTTTGAAACATTTAACTTATTTATTATGCGATTTATTCTATAGAGCAAATCTCGCCAAAAGAGCAAAAGAAGAATAGTCTTCACTTTATAAACATAACCTTTGTATTTTATGTTTTAAATTAAATTTTATTTTAATTTATTTTTTCATTATTTACAATATCCAAAATTGCATCGTAAACTTCTTCTTATTGGTATTGTAAAAGCCGAATTGTATTCAGTTTTACTTTCCAATCAGATTCAAAGTATCAGATTGTTGTTTTAAAGTTAAACTTTTAACCTATTTTTAAAGTATTGTCCTAAATTAGTAAAATATGCAAAGAAATTACATATTCTCTTAACTGTACTGAAACAAACAAATTATATTTGTATCTAGTTAATAGTTAATAATTAAATTATGTATAAAAAAAGCTTAAAGATTTTTGTTCCTAAGTACTTGATTATTAAAAATTTTCTTGATCAATTCATGACCCATGAGACAAAGTATATTTTCGAGGCAGTACCTCATTTTTTGTTAAAACTGAAGCAAACGATAGCAATTATAACTTGATTATTGAAGATTTTCTTGGTCAATACACGACCTATGATTGGAGATAAAGATGATAATTATAATTTGATTATTAACGAATTGTTCAATTCACGACTTATGAGACGAAGTATATTTTCGAGGCATTATTTGTTAAATTTGCAGAAAACGATGACAATTATAACTTGAAAATTAAAGATTTTCTTGGTCAATTCACGACCTATGAGACGAAGTATATTTGCGATGCATTTATTACAACATTTGTTAAATCTACAGAAAACGATGATAATTATAACTTGGTAATTAAAGATTTTCTTGGTCAATTTACGACGAAACATATAGTAGCTTCATTATTTCTTAAAATTGGCTTTCATTTTTCATATTTGCTCCATTTTCATAACCCTAACCACGCATGTCTTCAACATTTAAAATTCATCAGAAGCGAAACCCATTTTTTATTTTCCCGATTATAATTTGTTTATATTTATTAACAAGTTCCGTTTTAATTAAATCAGCTCGCAATTTTTCGTCAATAATGCCCAATAATTAATTTAACCTTTCGCAGGTTTGAACACTAGATAATTTCTTTTTCGATTCCACGGTAACTTCAAACAAAGAAAAAATTGAATAAGTAGATTAAGCAATGAACAGAGCTGTTATTTACTAATTTCCAAAGTTATTAATCGGTTAATTGTTTTGTTTCTACTGATATCACATTGCAAAATAAATGTGAATAAATGCTTTTTGTGTATCCCTAATTAAGTTAGATTGTTTATTATAATTTATTATGTATACTAAATTTTATATAAATAATTCTAGATTTTATATAAATAATTCTAGATTTTATATAAAAAAATATAAATATTATATTATAAATTTAATTTCCGAAACTCGTTTTGGCGCCCCCTAAGGCGTGCGCCCGCATTTTTTGCATGCATCGCATGCAAGGCAGGACCGGCCCTGTATATATATATATATATATATATATATAATATATATATGATGTATATGTATAATAAATGTTAGTTTTCCTGAAAGCCGGTCTATGATGTGAGAGCACCACAAAGTTAATGATTCCCTTTTTCCCTCCTTTGTTTATTTAAGTCGTCAACCATCTGCATTCTTTTTCTTCCTATTCCTTTCAGTCCTTCTATTTTATCTTCGACTATGTCGTGCAGGAGGCATTTTTTGCAGAACGAAAGGATTGTTCTCAGTATACTGTCCTTTCTTCGTTGACTCTTATCAGGACTTCTTCATTTGTTATCTTATCTGTCTACTTTATCTTTTCTATTCCAGATAGTTCTTGAATAGAACATAGAATTCTCCAGATAGTTCTTGTCGGCGTTTCTTAGAGTCCATGTCTTTCATCCTTACAGAGCTATTTTCCAGACGTAGCACTTTATTAGCCTCTACGCAGGTCGAGACTCGAGTTTGCTATAGTCAGTACCGTTCTTCGGGAATGCCGCCTTGGTGCTCGCGATCCCTGATCTCTCTTATGCAGTATCCGTCTCTGGTCAGGATGGTTCCCAAATATTGGATATGGTCTAGATATTTAATTATCTATTTCCTACCATTTTCCATCATCTCGTTTTGATTTTTTCATTAATTTGTCGATGTTGATCTCTGTTCCATATCTTGTACCCACTTCGACGATTCTGCTCATCATGTTTTGTAGCTCGGGTTTGGTTTTCGATACATATATACTGGAGCAGTTCAAGGGTCCTCAGCGCTCGCATGCAATTTTTTCCTTGGTGCCACTTTTCCTCTATTTTTTCAACTGTTTTTTACAGTTTGTCATTAAAATTATACGAAAAATACGCGTTATAGCGCCCCCTCGTCATTGTGCCCGCATTTTCCGCATACATTGCTTTCAGGGTAGGACCGGGTAGGATATATATATATATATATATATATATATATATATATATATACACAAAAACATCTTATAGATCAACCTATCTATTCAATTAATGAATTTTTTTAATCCAAGATAAATATTAATTGTCATTAGGTTAATCTTAGAGTTGTTCATAAACATAACTGATATTAGTTTAGTTATATTATGGTATAAATGTATTGACTTAAATTGTAAATGTTGAATTTGAATGAAGTATATATCTATCTATATACAGGTAAATCCCGTATAACACGGTAGATGCGATCTAAAAAACTAACGTGTTATGCGAATCCGTGTTATAGGGGACAAAGAACTAGTACAAAGAGAGGATTCAAAAAACATGCTACATATCATGATTTCTTGATAAATATTGTTATGTTTATTATTTTTTTAAAGATGTAATATACATTATATGAATAATATGATTTAGTCAAAATTAACAATAAGTAAGCGCTATTCAATGCGATTATCCTTTTTTGCAGGAAATCCTCATCCTTCAAGGCGTAAAGCGATTTCATGCTTTTAGCGAAAAGATATTTGTATATTTACCACATACAGAGATATCTTAATTAATATTTTATGCTCATTGAACGATTTTTTGTTTAAGACTAATTGTTAACGGAACCTAAACCTAGATTTTTTTTCGATAGAACGTACGCGCTCGAATAATAAATATCAAATTAGACATGTTTTGCATTAGTTTCATCACATTTATTGAACTTTTAAAAGTTTTATTTTTTCCGTTTTACTATATTTTGTATTTTATTAGGGTATTGCTTAATTCTCAAACCGTAGAGCGAACACGTGTTGGAGCGAAATCGCGTGTTATAGAAGTACCGCGTTATGTGGGGGTTTCCTGTATATATATATATATATATATATATATATATATATATATATGTGTGTGTGTATAAGCATATATAATTATAAAAAGGACAATATCTTGCATTATATGTTATTTGTCGGCGCATGCGGGCTCTATTCTAGTGCGTGCATGTCGCATTTGTGCGCATTTGATCTATTTTCTCAACCCCTTTACCCTATTCTCAGTACCAACATAAGAATAGAAGAAAATGCGTGCTCGGAAAATATAATACCAACGTAAGTTTGCAATATCACTATGGAGAGAGAATTAGGGTGAAGAATCGAGACGCCATCGATTTAACTATTTTGCATGTTATCTGTTATTTTTCACCTAATTACAGGATTGTCTTTGTTTTTGTTTTTCCTACACTACATATACTATATTTGCTGTAAAATATTATCGTACGCAATGCAATCTGAGGATGCCAAGTTCTTGAAAAGGTAAGTTTTTAGCACGCGTCTCTTGCGAAAATCTTATGTCAACTTGACGTTTGGTGACGTTTGTTATATTTTTGATAAACAGAAAAGTCAAATCTGGTGCAATCGATGTTCATCCCACAGAAAGTGCTCTAATTGTAAATTATGAAGTGGAAGCTACATTACTCGGTGAATTAGGTGACCCTGTATTAGGCGAACGCAAGGTATTTGATCCATATATGTTATATATAGCACGGCACAATCAATACTATTTACTTACAAATTACACACCTGTGTCATTTCTGACCTTGGTTTCTTTGACGATTATAAGCCAAAACATTATTTTTCCAGTCACTTTATAATTTATATTCTATTTGAAGGGTTGTCAAAAAATTATTAGGCTAAAAAATTTGAGTGCGAAGACAGATTGCGCGGCTTTGGCGCAAGAAGTTATAGAGAAATGTAATCTAATACATATGACCAAGTTGAAGGATGTTGAGCACTTGATATGTTATCTCAAACATCGCAATAGTAATTTTAATGGTGAGTCATTGAGTTGTAAATTGAGAAATATTGATATAATTTAATGTGGTTTGAATTTATTTATTAGATCGGTCTGTGAAGTCTCCACAGCAAAATAGTGGTTCTATGAGTCCAGGAGAAAAACCTGACGGAATGACTGAAAAAGCTATTATTGGAAATATTGAAGAATATGTTGAACTATTGTATGAAGATATTCCAGAAAAAATCAAAGGCTCAGCATTACTTTTACAATTGGCAAGGAATCCTGACAATCTATTAGGCTTATCTCAAAATGGTAACTATTTAATTCTTTGCATAAAAAGGGTGTTATATATTTTATAAATATAATTCATAATATTATAATATATTAGCTTTTTATGCACATATGATAGTTGGTAGATGTTTCTAAAACTATCATAAAGCATTTAAAATTAGTTCTAGCTTTTGAATCAGACAAAATATTTATTCAGTTATTAATAAAGGCAGTTGATGCTCTACAATATTTATTATTAATTCTGGATATTTTTTATAATTAAATTATTTGTGATTTAAAAAAAGTATGAAAATTGTTCAAACTGCAATAATAAATTAATAAATCTTTCAACCAATTTTAGAAACTGTATTATGTGCATTATCCAGAGTATTACGTGAAGATTGGAAACGAAGTATAGATTTAAGTACAAATCTCGTATATACATTTTTTTGTTTTTCGACTTATACAAGGTTTCATCCAATCATTTTGCAATATAAGGTAAATACTATAAAGTAGTACAATAGTAAGTACTATAGCTTATATGTCTTTGAGTAAATATTTAAAAAAATGTGAAAAATTTCAGATTGGATCACTATGCATGGATGTTATTGATTATGAATTAAAACGATATGACCAATGGAAAAATGATATAGAAACAAGGAAAAGTTATGTGAAGGTATGAGTAGTTAAATTTATTTTTATGTTATATAAATGTTAAGAAATCATTCTAAATTCTGCTTTTCTGCCATTATTTTGGTTTTAATTTATTATATAGACTTTACAACTTGTAATTATACTAATCAATGTAAAAAATATTTCTAATAAATCATAGAAAATATATTAGGCATTGTCTTAAAATGAAAATTTTAATGAAGCAACAATGAGTATTGAAGATATCAAATCACCTATTCTTGTAAGTTGTTATCATGAGTAACAAGTAATTGTTTAAATGTCATTCTTATCTTATTCATTTTTCAATTAGCCCGATCCCCCAAAACGAAGAATTCCAGAACTTAAGCAAAGGCCCAAGTCAGGAAACTGGACAGATCAGAACTCTTTGATTAGATCTAAACTTATGAACATAGCTATCATGAAAACCTATGCAGTGATATTGATTTGCAAACAACAACAGATATTAAGAAAATTAAAGAAGATTTTGATAAAATGAAGCGTCAATTCAAATCGCTTACCAGAAAACAGGAACAGTTGTTACGAATAGCCTTTTATTTATTAATAAACATTGCTGAAGATGTTAAAGTTGAAGAAAAAATGCGAAAAAAGAATATAGTTGGATTATTAGTAAAAACATTGGAACGAAATAATTTTGAATTGTTGATCTTAATTGTGACTTTCTTAAAGAAATTGTCAATAGTTGCTGATAACAAGGATGATATGAGTGAATTGAATATTATAGAAAAATTGCCTAGGTTACTATTAAGTTCAAATCAGGATTTAGTGCATGTTTCATTAAAGTTGTTATATAATCTTTCTTTCGACTCCAAATTGAGGTTAAAAATGATACGTGTAGGATTTTACCAAAATTGGTCAGCTTATTAAGTAAGTATAATTATTATATTTTATAAAAAATAATTTGTTGTTTATAAAATAATATATCTGTTTGTAGGTGATGATAAACATTACAATATTGTGATCAAAATTCTCTACCATTTGAGTATTGATGATAAGGTGAAATCGATGTTTACATATACTGACTGTGTTACTTTGGTGAGTACTTTTGTATTACCTAGTACTTTTGAGTACTTTTGTATTACCAGTAGTTTTGTATGTGATATTGAATTTTGTCTATTTTTCCAGGTTACTGATATGTTGTTACTTTGCATGGAAAAAACTGTTGATATGGATTTAATAGCATTATGCATTAATCTTGCTGTGAATAAAAGAAATGCCCAACTAATGGTTGAAAATAACAGATTACAAGACCTGATGTCCAGGGCAGTAAGATTCGAAGATTCTTTAATAATAAAACTACTGAGGAATATTGCTATGCACGATACAACAAAACATAAATTTGTGGTAAGAGAAATATAATTTAATTTCAATTTCAATCTAAAACTATTTAGATTTATTTAAAATTTACATTATATTTGTTTTGTTATTTTTTAACTTTTTGATTTAATTTTTTTTTGTTGTTTATTGCTTATATGTTTGCATGCAGTTTTACTTTCACTTTTTTCAACAATTTGACTGTCACCTCTTTTATAAATATCTTATTCATAATTTTTTGAGCAATTTTAAAAACCATATATTTTATATTTTTAGAAATTTATAGATGATATAACAGGAGTTCTAACAACTAGTGAGAATGAAGATTTTGTAGTGGAGTGTGTAGGTTTACTGGGATGTCTTGCACTACCTGAAATTGACTACACTATATTACTTCAAAATTATAATTTGGTTCCTTGGATACGGACCAATTTAATACCAGGTTTGATATCTTTATTATTAGTGAAATGTGGAACATTGCAATTTTTAATCACAGATTATATGAATTATTTTTGTTTTTTAAATGCTTCTTATTTTACAGGCAAACGTGAGGATGATTTATGTTTAGAAGTTGTAGTCTTACTTGGTACAGCTGCTTGTGATGAAGCTTGTGCTATGTTACTTTGTAAAGCTGATATTTTGCTATCCCTAATTGAGCTATTAAAGGCAAAACAAGAAGATGATGAAATTGTTCTACAGATAATATTCGTATTTTACCAAGTCCTGAGGCATGAAAGTACAAGAGAGTATCTGACAAAAGAAACTGGTATGATTTTAAAATATCATTTTTATTGGGTTTGTTTATATGTTCAACGTATAATAGAAAGTGTTGTTATATATAAGATTTTGTAATATATTCAATGATTTTTTTTAATAGATGCTGCTGCTTATCTAATAGATCTGATGCACGATAAAAACACAGAGATTCAAAAAGTTTGTGATTCCTGTTTAGATATCATTGCTATATCTGATGAAGGTTGGGCATCCAGGATTAAGGTAAGTTAACATTCAAGATATAAAAGATGCAATCAATATGTATAAAATATTCTGGTTTCTTTTTATGTGTGTTTGGGCAAAGTTCTCTTAAATGTTTGTTAAATGCCTAAATATTTATAAGTTAATACTATTTAAATATTTTATTCTATATTATAATATTATTGCAGTTGGAAAAATTCCGTGAGCATAATAGTCAATGGTTGAACATGGTTGAATCTCATGCAGTAGATAGCCATGATTTTGATCCCAGTGATGAATTAGATTTGCCTGCCTATCTTACAACCGACTTTATGAGTAACGATATTCCTCATGGACCTGGTAAGTTCAATAAACTTATCGTTTTTTTTATTGAATTAATGTTTGCCTTTTTCAATTTTTTAAACTATTAAAACTATTACCATTCTGCAGGTTCTGGCTCGGATTCTCGGGCTTCTTTAAACAACGACGATTGCGATGCGTTCCGTGCAATTTCTGCTTTAGACAACTATAGTAGACCGGGCAGTCGGTGAGTGAATAAATTATATTTATTTAAAATCATCTTAGGTATTATCATATGAATTATACATTAAAAAATATCGCTATAATTTAAAAGCTTAATTATGATCTTGTGCACGGTTATGGAAGTCATTTATGTAATCAAATGCATTGTGATTCAATAATTTAGCATGCATTTCTATTGGAGATTTCGTATACTTCAATTATGTAGAAAAAAATATTTTAGATGCACGGATTATATCTTCTTTTAATTATTATACTATTTATTTAATAATATTATTAAGGGGAGTCGGATAATACATTAGCATTTTAACTTACATTAGCATATTAATTAAATAATCTATTGATGTTTAAAGATACACGCAAAATTTACTTTTTGAAAACAGTTTAATCAATAATTTTGAGCATAGAGAAATAAGTTTAATTCAATGTCTATTTTGGAGCACTCAAGAGATTTTATTATTCAGTGTTTCAATTTTTATAATACATTTTAGTATATCAAAAATAGAAAAATTATTACGATGTTTTCGAAGTTTTTCTCTTGTTCTATTAACACCGTTATTTAGAATTTTATTAATATCCAACTCTTCACTCATTAGAATATGAATCAAATTGAGTAAGGACTTCCATTGGATTTTTAACACTTTATTATAGCTATCCTTCTCATGATTTTCATATAGTGACAAATAATACCTGAAAATATGTTAGAATATAATATAGTATTGGAAAACATAGTTTTTAACATATAACTTTATTGGAATTCGTTCGTAAAAAGGTCAGGTCTGCCGCCAATCCAGAATAAGAGGCACGCTGCAATGTTGCCTGCCAGTTTTCGAAACCCACCGGTAAATTATTATATTTTTTTAATTTCTACAAATTTGGACAAAGAATTTCAAATCGTGTTTTTGCGTTTGATTTTTATGTGCATTAAATTTTCACCGATCATATATAATGTTTATACACATAGTGGACTTGCAGATTGTCACTGTGTGAAATTCATGTGTAAATAATAATTCATTCAAGCATTTGGATTATTTAAACATATTTGGAATAATCTCTATTTTTCACTAACAAGGCTTTTTATGTGTTGAGATTTAAAGATAATTTTTTATAAGTAAGAGTAGTTTATTAATTAGTACAAGTAGTTTTACGCACGAGATAGTTTCTTTTGACGAAATGAATGTATGTATGTATAATAATAATATTCACTATGCATGGAACTAAAAGATGCTAATTTAAGTTATAAATTATGCCTTTCATCGATTTTAAGCGCATTGAGCACATACTAGAAGCTAAACAATGTAAGCTATTGTTTTAAGATATTGAATAGTGAAGATAAAATTAAGGCTGTTCTCACACGGGTTGCGCAATTAAGTAA